GATGTAAATTGCAAATCACTTAAGAATATGTCATTTGTGAATTCCTTAGAAATCTCTNAGTTCCTTGTCTAATTATTTAACAAGGCAGCAAAGCTGTCAAATGTACAGACAAAGAACAGAAAATAAAGATGCAAATAAGTGAAAAATTAAATTCTCACAAAAAACTGTTAAATTGCCAGAAAAATTTACCAAACAAACTGCGTTGCCTATTGAAGCTGTATGTTAGACCCATGTTTCTTTCCTGTAAGTTTGAGAACAGTAAGTGACATGATTTCCCTTAAATGGTCATCATAGGAGCAGTGCCCAAAATAGGGGTTTCTTCAAATTTTGATGCAANGGGGGGGGGGGCAGCCTTTGAGCTATATCCAATGATGTAAATTGCAAATCACTTAAGAATATGTCATTTGTGAATTCCTTAGAAATCTCTAGCTGTCCCTGGGCCATGAAACTTGCACCTGCACTGTGTTTCTTCCCCACCTAAAGACAGGAAATACCTTAACACCGAGGTCACAGTGGCTGACACTAACTTGTCTTTTCTTTGAGAAAACATGTATTTATGAGAATTTAAATCATTGCCCAGGAAAATATTGACACAGGGCCCATGTCATGAATTATGATTTTATATAATTTAAACACAGACAGTCCTCTTCAATTGTGCCTCAGTCAATGCCTGTCAAAAAGGTATACCTATATTTCTTTTATCTTATGTTTTTATTCATTAAGGTAGGAGAGAAAAGAGAGATATTTCCTACTACATGCTTTGGATGTGACATTACACAGGTTTCGCCAGGTTAGTAACACAGGGTCTACTGAATTACAGGACTGGTAGTTCATTTAGTTTATTCAGACTTTTTACTTGGCAAGACTAAAAACAAGAAGGCGATATGCATGTCTTTCTCTAAACAAGTTGCATGTGGAAATGTTCTAGAGAGCCCAACAATCCACACTCCCCCTCCACCCCTTTACCAAAAACATTTATGGTAACACAGAATCTTGTCTCCAAAACAAAAACAACGATTTCCTTTTTGTGCTGGTTGTACAACTTTAATTCAACACAAATGAACACAATACCAATCTTTATACAACAATTTAATACAGCCAAACATGTAAACCAGTTTGCATTTATATCTGAAGTGCACCAACATTACAACACACACACAAATAATACCTCACTTTTGGGCAACTGGCAGTCTGGGGCATGAGGTCAATGTAAATTATGTGGAATTTCAACCTTTCAAGATATATCTATGTGAGTTATTAATCTATGTAACCCAAACTGCATGTGTGGCTGCCAAGTCAAATTAGTGTTATGACTCTGTTACGCAGCATATTGTCTTTTCTTTCCTGACTAGAACAATTAATGTGAATATTACCTTCTCAGTTCTCCCATCAATTTATAATGTATTCACTATCTCACGTACACTGCCTGCAGCTATTTTTCAATATTAAACACTCTTTGAAAATATCATGTGTAAAGTTAAAAGGTAAACACAGGGCTCTGCTCCTTTTTCTCTGTTACTGAATTAAAAAACCTATATAGGTAAAAATAATACATCTCCCCTCAAATACAGGGCTCACACAGAAAGACTATACGTGTGCAATAAAGCTAGTGCAAACGCCAACGTTTTTCAAAAAAAAAAAAAAAAATCATCAGATTACAAATATGCAACAAACTGTGTTTCATTTTCATTTGGTTTCCTTTGCATACTGTGAGTCCAAAATTCATACCAAGTAATAAAGCTCATAAACAACAGGATTTCAAAAGACTCAGGTTTTAGAAGGACATGCTGCTGGGATCCTAACAGATCAATAAGAACTAAAGGGCCTTGATAATCACCAGCAATGGTGATTAATGTTATCATTAGACATATCCCAAGAAATCAATTTGTCCAGTTATATAATGTTTTGAAGGTCCATTATAAGAAATAATGAACTCCTGGTAATCCGTGGCAGATGTACTAAAGTCAAGTTTAATCAAGAAAACACATATTGCAGGTGCTTGGTTTTCCTAATTTCCTGGAGTCAGGCAGGTGGACTATACATACCTAACATAAATAGGAGAAGAATGTTAAAATGGAAATCTATACTTTCAGGTTTCCCACGTATTTTATCAAGAGCAGTAAAAGATCCTTGTACTTCATATTTAGAGTGAATTAAAATCCCAATTGAAAATTGTAGTTTCCTATTACTGTTCGAGGGAGCAAATTTCAAATCAAAATGGCAAAATTCCTCTGTAATTCCAATTGAAATGTTTTAGGTCAGTCATCAATTGAATGTCTGCGGTATGATAACTTTACTCTATGGCCTTTACTTCCTGTATAAAATTGCCAAATTGCTACTGTTCAAGTTCATTTAATGTTACCCTCTTTTTCAATGATTGTGGTCTCCAATCTTCCCTTCTCAGCAGACAGATTTTTCTGGTCTGCTGCAATTCAAAGCATGGGTCAAAGCACATTTCTCCCTTTTCTTTTCTTCTAAACCAAGGAAATATGGACTCTGATTTTGCAATCACACCCTTATATTGTGGTTTGTACTATGGGGGGTAGTAGTTGTCAGGTGTACTTTATACCCCAACTCAATGTGTGATGTAAACTATTCTAGCTGTACGTGGACATATCAACAATATGTGTCAAGAAATTACTGAATGTTTTGCCTACGTATTAACAAATCCTTTGAACCATGTAACTTTCTAACCTTGTTACCTGCAGCAAAACAGAAAGGCATTTCTATTACGGGCAAGTAACTAAAATAAAAAGGGTTAGAAGGTTGAAGGTTCTTACGAATGTTTTGGTACTGGCTATAAACTGGGTTACCTAAAAGTTAAAGGAAGCTAGCCAAATCCACTTCAATACTAAGGGGAAAAAAACAAGTCCATAAGTGTGAGGCACTTAATGTCCCAACTGCAGACATATGAATTGAATGTCACCATCAGAAATTTAACACCACATTGATTCACTAAACCTTTGCACACAACAGTGATTTTAAATTATAGATTGTGCTGTACCTAAACATTTAAATCCATTAAATATAAAGCAAAATGCACCGAAATATCATAATCATTATGATTTATAAATAATAAAACCATGTGGGTTTTCATGTTGACATAAACTGCTATGACCAATAATATGTATATATCAGTGGACTGGCCCATAATGTTGACCAAAGCATGTTGATGATTACCCAACCCATGCCCACAACAATGCAGAAACCCATCATAGATAGCTGACTGTCTCATACTGCCTACACAGAGTTTCAAATGCATGCACATACTACTCAAGAAGTTATATCTCTTGAGAATCTATATGAAAAGGTAGCATGCAAGTTTTAATGTGATGATCAAAAATCCTGATAGCTAGGAAGGTGCATGCTTTAGCCACATTCCTCTGATGAAAGATTACTCCTTATTTTCTCCTTATAAGAAAGATGATTTTTAATCTGCGTCCCGAGAAAGAAAAGTGCAAAGAAATAGTACAAGCAGGTTCCATTGTTTACTATGCAAATATCCGAAACAGGCGGCATTCAAAGTGCTCAGCAAGCACAATATAGATTTTTGTTCAATAAGTGGTCTTGAAGGCTGTTCGCGCCTTTTGCTCTGATTTTAGCAAAATCAATAAGCTCTCAATAGTAATAAATGTATGTCAAAGAGGTCCTCCAGCAATAGTAGATAAAGTGGAAGTTTTGTAAACACTTGTTTTAAATCATATTTTGAACAAAAACACTGACTCAGAACCAATGAAGTAAAACTGATTTAATACTGTTCTGGCTGTCTACACAATAGAGCTGTACAATATTCACTTGAATAGCTATGCATGGGGCTGCAATCCAGACCTACAACAGAGCACAATAGAACTGCCTTCTATACTATTCCATAGAAGCCTAAGTGGAAACAGTGATCTCAGTGCACTTGATTGCACTGCTTCCAAACTTTCCATAGTCAAAAATACCACACTAGATTAAGATCTCCGATAATTTGGCTGTCTTGTATTCATTTATCTTAGTTCATTATAAACAAGTTTATCTTCACCCTGATAAAGATGCATCTAAGTGTTTTAAACAAAACAGAACTGAGACATCTCTCCTGTCTTGCCCAGTCAAACAAAAATTATGCTAAAATTCAACTTTTCCCCTCATTTAAGTGCATGCTTTAAATTGGGAGCTGAGAAGGGAAAGCAAATTTCCTCAACTGGGGTCACTAACACACGCTAATTTGGAAGGTAAACATGACCATGAAAGGAGGGCAGCCAGTAAGAACATCTGTACACCGAACTATGGGTTAACTTTTCATAAACTGTTGGTTGGTCTCACTTTAACATCAATGTGTTTTCAGACTTACATAAAGTTCTAATTTCTACGAAGAGATGTGAAGAACACTTTTAGAAGGCCATTCCTGTGCACACTATCAAGACTATCAAGCTTACACCTTTAACTTACACACGATGTAAAATTACCACCTTTTAAGTAACAAAATGTAAAGGCAAATGAAATTTTTTAACAACAAGGAAAACTAAAAAACTTGATATCACAACCTTTAACGCTCTACCATCTAACAAATGGGAAATATTCCTCCGTCCCTTTTACCTGGTTAACAAACATGTTTTGTACACCTTGATTACCTTCAAAATATCACTAGGGGCTTGTTACTTGGTAATTGTAGTGGGAAGTATAAAAGATGGTCCTAAATCTCTAATATGAACATGCATGTCATAAATACTAAGTACCCTGCCAGCCACCTAAGATGTCTCGAGATCCCTTTGGTGAAAACACGATTTGTACATATTAAACGTTCAAAAATAACGATAGAATCAAGACAATAACTTATAGATAAATATTTAGAAAAGTAACATGCGAAGTGATGTACAACATATTCCTAAAGGTGATACACCTGAAGTTTAGATCCGATCTTAAAAACTTCATTTTTCCTTCTAATTTCAGAACTTTTGAATTGATTTCAATTCTCCGAACTTTCAAAAAACACTATAAAAAGTATTTAAAATACTTACTGTGTTTAGACAGCTTATTCTTGTTAAGGATCTTCTGTATACTAATTAAATCCTGGTCCTTAACGGCCTGCAGCAGTTCAAAATCTTTCCCCATGTTGCCGAATCAAGTGCTGATTAACGAAACGAAATATTTACGACCACATTTGGTCGTCACTTGAAATCACGTTTTATGACAGAAGTGTAAAGAAAATCTCTTCTAATTCTTAATCCAATGCTTTTCCCTATTTGAATAACATGTTTTATCCTTCGTATAGCTCCCAAGATCAAGTTCTTCGCTGGAGTGAAGTTTAAATCTCCCAGAATATTGGCGGCCTGGCGTAGTGTTGTTGATCTCTCCCTTGGGGTTACTCATTTCCGGTTGACATGCTCACTCGGCCACTTCTGACGTCACAATGTGAACACAGGTGCTTGCTGCTTTCTGCTGTGATTGCCAGTGTCATGGATGCGATAGATGTGACAAGGACCTGCATATTTGTAAACTGATTGAGACTGATTGAGACAGGGAAAGGTCATCTCACCTCTCTCCTAACGCTGGGAAAGAAAAGTGCGAAACGAAAGTCGCTCAATCTCTAAAGGAACAAAGCTATATCATTGAGACCATAAAATTTTATTTTTTTGCAATATTTTTTGATTTAAAAAAAAAAACATTCTGACGAGTTCAGAGTGCACGTAAACATTTGTTGAACACGTACGCGCGCAATGATTTTTCATACACACAATCTAAACAAACTAATGTATATGCCACTGTAGCCATTAAAAAAATATAGTTAAGCTGATAGAATGTAATCTTGGTTGGAAACCAGGGTTTTTTAAAATCCCATTTTATTATTATTATTTGGGGAGGGGAGAGAAGAAGGGAGTGTTACCCTCTTTCACAAAAGCCAATTTGGCAAAGGTGCCGTATTAGTACATCTTGATTTGATTTTAGACAGAAGAACTAGTGCATCACTACGTGGATCCATGGATTTTAAAGGATTCTACGCCATTTGGAGATAGGGCCAACGACCTTCATCCATTGTGCAATGAATGTGCTCTCAACTACCACAATTGTACAACCTTGATCCATTGTGCAATGAATGTGCTCTCAACTACTACAATTGTACAGTCCTTGTCGGCGATCTCTGAGTGCTTTGCTAGCTTTTAATTTTTTTTAATATATATAATTGCTCGGATAATTTTTTCAGGCTGTTTTCATAACTGTGAATAGTTTGGTTTCGGGACTATAAGCAAGATAAAAATTCAACAAGCCTTCATTGGTATATGTATAAACTGCCATCTGCATACTAAATATATTAAGTTGACTGACACTAATATAAGGATGTTGGGCCCATGTTGGAATGTTTTCTTTGGCTTATCAACCTTTGGCCAATATTGGGCCAATGTTGGTATGCCAACGGAAATATTCGTGTTGGCATACCAACATTGGCCCAATGTCATAAAGCTATCAAGCAGAACTTTTTTTTCTAACTCGTATTTATCTTTTTCTTTTTTTTTTTATCTCAGTGATAAGTTAAAATTTTTTTCTAAAGAAAGAACAAGTTAACTTGCTGTTTCCGAAAGTTATTTTATTGAATCTCAGTCAGTGCACCGTCAATACACTCCTCAATCGAAACAATACAATTGAGAATAGTGGAAGTAACCGTCTGGAAGCAACTGCCTGGAACTAACTGCCTGAAGGCGACTGTATCCGTCAATGAATGCATATGAACGAAGGTGAGAGTAAAAGTAAGTGTAAGTAATAAATAAGTAAGTAAGTGAGTGAATAAGTGTTGTTATATCTTTTTGACTACTGGTACCACGTCGAAACGATAGCCAAAACCCCAATTTCCATGTATCTTACGTGTATTCTACTCCCAAATTTGCATACCCCCAGATGCATAACTCCAAGCAGCTTAATTTATGTACTTCCAGGATTTGCCTGTAACTAGTTTACTCACTAGTTTACTTGATATACTAAATATATCAACAGTTCCTATTACATATCAATGAAGTAACGATATCCATTGCAGGACATATTCCAGTAACCTTCCAGCTTGTACTAAAGGTCAAATTTTAAAATTCCTACTACCTAACGTATGTTACTCATTTCGTCAGTACACCAGAGACATTTATCATGTTCGATTCATTTTCACAAATGATTTTAAGTTGCAACAAATTTTTCAAAATTATCATTATAATTCAAACATTGATATTCCTTCAAAACCAACATGCATAAATAAAACCAGTATAATACAGCTGACAACTAGCCAATGACAGTTGTTACCGTTTTTTTTTTTTTTTTTTTTTAAGGAAATACAAATTTTGCCGTTCAAATCACAAGACAAGAACTCCAGCCATATTAATAAAGCTCTTAGGTGAGGTGAATATTTCTTTATACATGTAGATCCCGTGCCATTCTTTCAAAAACCGCAAGAACTTTCTCCCTTCTCTGACAATATCCGCTGACGTTCTGCCTAAATCCTGGTGGGTTTTATCCCACTGCTGTTGGGAGAATTCACCAAAAAAGCCATCACTCAACAACGAGTAAATGATCGGAGTGGCAACTCTGCTGTTAACACTCTTTGTCTTCAGGTTACCGGCGTGCTTGTAGGCCACTGTTAGCTCAGTCAAGAGGAGCAAGGAAAATGACCACAGTATTCGCTAAAAAAAGCACAGGCGTATAAAAAAACGCATTTAAATTTTAGATTTAATCTATTATTGGACTGTCCTCAAATGGACCTATCTACGCCAGACTTATCATATTATGAAAGATGGGGAACAACTTCGTTTACTTTCTGGAACAAACTCTAAAGTTTTCCATCACCCTTCAGCTCTAAAATGTAATGGAACAAGCTGCTTAAAAATCTTCATTTACGCCATCATAAAGACGTCATTCTAAAATGCTTCTAACCTTACCATTTTAGACTAGACTGTGTCTTATCTGCAAATAGCCGTATATGCGACCAATATATATCACTGAGAGTCCGTTAGAGATGAGTTTCTTTCATTTATGGTTTGTTTTGCGAAGTGCTTGGTTTATAAATCCGTTTATCAGTTGCTATACAGTTTAGAATCATAGTTTTTGCTACTGACGGGATAGCCATTAACATGCAAAATGATAATAAATGTTCTGGTCAGACTTTTCTTTCTAAAAGGCATTAATTTAAACAATAGTATTCAGATACGGTTAAAGATAGTGCTCATCAAACTTGGTTGATGAATCCTTTGTTAAAGTTGGTATTATTTATTTCATACATTCATACATGCAAACAAGAACTTAAGGATTTTGTAACCCTTATTATCATCCAGGTACCGAAAATGAGTTTTTTCCTGCATCTAAATATTGAAAAATGCGTCTATATTTGTGCTGATTTGAAACAATGAAAAAACACTCCAAAATATAAAATACCGGTGTTTATATTTTTCGTCGCAATGTATCAGCATAGGCAACTCAAAACTATAATCGAGTAAGTTTGCTCAGTCGAACCGATAGCTGGATTGTCCATGCTGTCTTAGGAGACTCCAGAACTCCCAGCCAGAGAAATAAACGTAGAGGACGGTCAGTTTGTAGTTGAGCTCTGGAAAACTTACCATAGCCGTTGTGTTACCTGCTGTAGAAGTAACTCACACTAGTACCCCTGTGATAGTTGTATGCATGAGAAAGAATGTTGCGAAACGAAAGTGGTTCAATTATTTTAGGAACAAAGTGTTACCCTTGAGATGAAACAGTGACAAAAGATTAATTTTTGCAATAGTTATCTTCCGAAGTATTCCATAAGATCATAATTTATGTAAATTAAAGCTATGTAGGGCAAAGCTATTGATTTTGCATTTATAAAACCGAAACAAACTACAAAAAATTAACTTGGTTTCGTAAGTGCGAGTCCAAAGATTAAACTGCAACATGAGCAAATAACCACTTAAGCCATCTGTTAAGATTTCAAAGTTTATTAGAAAGAATATAGACGAAGAGATGAAGAGCGAAAAAGGAAATAGTTACCCATTTCACCAAAGCCCATTTAGCAAATAATATATGCATTTTGATTAATTCCTGCCGTAATATATTTTCCAGTGCAAGTCGTACATGCATTACGTAGGTCTACTTCTCGCAATAGATGGGGCATTACTATCAATAATATAATAAAATTATATTCATTTTAATGAAATATACTTTCAAGAAAAAACCAAAATTATGTATGGATGGGATGTTTCAAAAGGGAAAGCAAATTAAAAGACTTCAAAAAAGCAAAGAATTGACGCAGAGGCGTATCAAAAAAAAAAAAAAAAAAAAAAAAAAAAAAAAAAAAAAAAAAAAAAAAAAAAAAAAAAAAAAAAAAAAAAAAAAAAAAAAAAAAAAAAAAACGCATTTAAATTTTAGATTAAATGCATTTATTGGACTGTCCTCAAATAGATCTATCTACGCCAGACTACTATGATCTCTATTGAGAGACGGAGAACCACTTCGTTCAGTTTTATGGGAAAAACTCTAAAGTTTTCCATCACCCCTCAGGTCTGAAATGTAATGGAACAAGCTGCTTAAATATTCTTCTTTAGACTAGACTGTGTCTTATCTGCAAAAAGGCGTGTGTGCGACCAATAAATATCACTGAGAGTCCGTTAGAGACGAGTTTCTTTCATTTATGGTTTGTTTTGCGAAGTGCTTGGTTAATTAATCCGTTTATCAGTTGCTATACAGTTTAGAATCATAGTTTTTGCTACTGACGGGATAGCCATTAACATGCCAAATGATGATAAAATGTTCAGGTCAGACAGGGGCGGATCCAGACATATTTTCTGACAGTCTTCCAAATTATCTTTATGATAAATCCTCCATTTTTGACCGTCTTCCAACAGAAAAATTAGAGTGCATTCCCATAGATTTAGATCGATCCAACTAGATCTACCTAACTCCCTGGGGGTCAACCGAGCGCGCAAGGCAATTAATTACCCCCTTACAGCTTTTAGTAGGCGGGACAGACATTTAAGCCGGTTAAGCTGACACCAGCGTCTGTTCCGCCTACTAAAAGCTGTAAGGGGGTAATTAATTGCCGTGCGCGCTCGGCTGACTGCAATTTAGCGTGAACCCCCAGGTCGATCTAAATCTTCATCTCTGGATCGATCTAAATCTCTGGGGATGCACCCTTAGATACCCGTCAATGTGAACTCGAAAATCTGACCGGAAGACCCAGAAGAACGCCCCAGACAGACTCTTCTTTTTGAAAGGCATTAATTTAAACAGGAGCATTCAGATACGGTTAAAGATAGTACTCATCAAACTTGTTTGGTGAGTTCTCGGTTCAAGTAGGTGATATTCACTTCTTGAAGAAGAGAACCCGCTTGGATGCTTCGCCCCCTAATAGGTCTACAAAATGAAAGAGACTCATCTCTAAGAACAGATGATCCGCAGACTAACTGATCTGCCGACCAAATATGACCAACCCACTTAAAGGTGATGCCGTTAACCCCCAGATGGTCTCCCCGCCTCCGCCGTTGCTGCAAGCGCCTTGCAATTAAATCTCAAAGCCGAGATTTTAACCATTTAATGGCGTGTGCGGAGGCAGGGAGACCACCAGTCTCTTTCATTTTTGATTTGTGACGTGCTTGGTTTATTAACCCGTTTATCAGTTGCTATATTGCTCAAAGAATGCTGTAGCATGGTTACTTCGTTCACATGAAAAATCTATTTTCTAAAAATCTATTTTCTATTCGCGGTATCTTGTGATCACGGTCTGTGCCCTGATTACTGGCAGCGCGAGCCAGTTACTTCCAAAGCTGTAATTAATTCTCGGCTGCGCTCGGAGTGATCACAAGATACCGCGAATAGAAAATAGATTTTTAGAAAATAGATTTTTCATGTGAACGGAGTCTAACATGCTTATTTCATTTTGTATAGAATAATATCCAAAAATGGGTGTGTTAACAAACGAAACTATATTCAAAATATTCCACGCAGAGATCTTATAACTTCCTTTCTTTCATTGGAAAATGAACAAGAGGGTTTCAAGGAAAGCAACGTTTCAAAGCTAATTATATCATCTTTATTAGTTTGCATTTTTTAGAAAATGTTAATTCCCTGATTATAATTCCCATCAGTTTACTAGTACTAACAATCTTATCAAAATACCAATCTTTTCTTATTACATTTTTATACAAAATTATGCACAGATAAATTGCAAGTACAATATAAATTGTTGTCAAACAGCTTTTAAAAGGTACACATTAATAATTGTGAATACTTTGGTTCTGGAACTATAACCATGAAAAAGAAATCAAGTAAACATGTTACCATTCTACAGATGTATACTGTAGCCTAAAGGGTATAGAAATTTGCTCCTGTATTATCAATCTAAACCATTACCACATTTTGTATAAATAGATACCTTCTGTTGTGACTAATAGAGTTTTTAACCATGTCATGTGACCTGATCATTTTTCATTTTGACAATACTGAACTGGATCGCATTTAAAAATCCTCATTTAAACAATGTTGAACACACAGCGAATTGCTATATATACTTAGGACTATTCTACAACTAGTATACTTTGTGATTACAACCATTCTGTTATGTGAAATTTCAAATATGGGTACTAAAACACACTGACGATATAGGAAATAACACTATATATGTTGATGTGTGTAACATATCAGTGGATTAGTTCAACTAGCAGACCACAAATCAAGTAGACAAATGCAACAGGACAGTGTACATGGACCAGCATGTATCTTTGTGCAAATGATGAACACAGAGTTCTACAACTACACAATGGTGTCCTTACTATATACAGCTTTTTAACTGCTGCTATTATCTTGGATTATCATACCAGGCATATCTAAGGGGGGTAATTCTGGGAGAAGATGGAGACTTGTAAAACAAATTTTCAAATAAAAATTGTAGTAATTGTAAGTTGTTTTCACTGCCATTACCATATCTTATATGTTATGTTATCTTAACATAAATCTAACTAAAGCCCAAGGCTCAAGTTCCTATACATAACCCAAGTGGGTCACTGCAAGTCATCCTTTATTCATCAAGTTCTAGTGAGGCTGCCGATACTGGATGGTCTACTGAACTGATCCATATTCACATAGTTGCTAAAGCTCTCACATGAACTTAAATAGATAGTTATGCTAAATAGACTAAATATATATACAGGGTGTAATGAAGTACTAATGTAAGTGTAAAAATGGCTTAATAAGAATATGATCTAAATCATAGCAAGATATGTTTGGTTTTCTATGAATAATTTCTCATTTAATTTTAATTTATAGAATCCTAATAGAAATTTAAACTTGAAATAATGCATTATGGTTCACAGTTAGTAAAATGAATATGAATATGTCCAGTTTTAATATAGTTGTAATGATATTATATTAGCAGTTGATTTAATAATGGCAACTAACATAGACAACATTCCATCCATTTGTTGAATTATGCCATTTTTTTCTTCAAAGATTCCTGAAAATAAATGCTCACAACCTGCAGAATATTTTAACAAATCTTTACATTCTTACTATTTTATACATTTCTTTGCACTGTTATTTGCCTTTATTTGTGTACCCCCAGCTCATACAAACGAAAACGTAGTAGGAATCTCCAAAAATATCTATACCAGACAGGGGTGGAGTTGAACCTAAATCTAACTGTGCATGTGGGCCCTTAAAGTTAAATGACAGATTACATAAGATGCAAATGACCTGTACAAACATTCAAAGAGATTTCAGAGAACTAGTTCCACTAGTTGTATATCACTCATTAACCATAATCTTTGAAGAATATTATATTCTGAAACTGCATTAAATGCAATGCTATACCTCTGATTCATTGATGGGTACAATATGTATGGGTCCATTGTTTTGCTGATTGCTTTGTGGAATTTGAATTTTTACACTGGTAGCATTTGTTTCTTTATTCTTAGTTTCCATGTCTGTTTGACCATCAGATCTTTCTGTGCTTGCATCATAATTTGCTTCCACAGGATCTTTTGTTTTGTCATCAGAATCACTGCTTGTATTTACAGAATGGCTGACAGCATTTGCAGAATCACTTTTTGAGTTCACAGGGTCACTCTTTATATCAACTGAATCACTCTTCGTGTTGAGTGGTTCACTCTCTGTATTTGCACAATCACTTTTTGTGTTTAAGGAATCATTCACATTTTTATCACTGTTGATTGTTATAGATGGGTCTTTGATATGTTCATTTAGAAAAGCAGGTGGTGACGGAAGGTCTACATTTGCTTTAGAATGTAATAACCTACGGCTGGATGGACGATTTGGAATTGGTTTTTGCAAAGGTGGATTTAGTGGCCTAAGACTGTCTGTGTTACCACTGTCTTTTCCATCTGTGTTAGAATGTTTGGGGTTCTCTATGGTTTCAATTTCTGTCATGGAGTCTCTTGCTCTGTCAAATGTTGGCTGAGCATCTTCATCCTCCTGACTAGTGGAGAGTCCTGTAATCTGACGGACTTCCTCATCACATCCCTCATCATCCGTCCAAATCTCCACAGACTGCTGTGGTTGCTGGTCTTGTGGCGGCTGACTGTGATCACAGATACTGCTTGTTTTAGCATCTTTAATTTGTTGGCGTTCTGAATTTTCTTTTATATCACCTATAGGTGGTACAGATTTTTCTTTTGAATTTGGTTTTGATTGTGCCGCCCCAGATGTTGGAGGTTTTTCACCAGATCCAGGACAACGCCTTAAAACTGGCTGAGAACCATACAGTGGATCCACTGGCTCTGGATAGGCAATCTCAATAGTTTTTGCTAGCATAACATTTGGCACACTGCTGCACAGAGTCATGGGGGAGATCTTACGCTGAGCATGTTCAGGTTTCCATCGGCGACTATCTCGTATTGGTACGTGTGGTGTTAGCGGGGTGGGCAAATGTTTGGGTGAGGATGTAGGTTTCAACTTTTCACTACAAGATCTTGAGAGTAATATTTCTGGCTCCTGGTTCTTGGAACTTGATGGAAGATATAGTACAGATGGGATATCGGATTTAGGGAATTTCCTTCTGTTTGAAGTCAGAGCTGCGATGGTAGGTTTATCGAGGATTTTCAAACTAACAGAATCTCTGTTTCTATCTTCATCCTTTCCTACTGGAGTTGTAACACATTCTGAAAATATATGTATGAATTTAGCATAGTAAAGATAAAAGAACTCTCCAAAACATAAAATATATAAAGTTTTAAAAAACCATTTTTATTTCCTGTGTTTCTGTTACTCAGATATGTCACAAAATGATTTTATATAGTATATAGTAAAATTTACTTCTTAAGTAGTTGTATTTCAATCTTACATTTGAAGTTAATCTCCTGTTATAAAATTCAGAAAACCTTACAATGTTATGTAGCTGAAAAGTACATGCTTAAAATTAAGAACAATTTCCCCGATCACAGATTTATCTGAACTGATCTAAGATGATCCATAAACAGCTGGAATTAAGACACATGACAAAATCCAATATCAAAAATTCATCCTAGAGTTAGTTTTTTTTATCTATGTTATTTTTGGTCATGGAATACAAAGTAAAATACCTAATATTGAAATAATGAAATATGACATAATTTGTTAGAACAAATGTAACTAACCAGACACATTTTGTTAACAAAGAAAAGCTGTAATTAAATATTACATAAAATTACAAACCGACTAAACAAATCTATGTGAATAAAGCTATCAAGCAAAACCTCTTGAATACTGAAAATGTAAAGTATTTTGTGTACTCAGTATAGTTCTTTGATTCTTTTAAAAAAGTTACATATAGTTTTGGCAATGATAAATGCTTTTCAAAATGGAAACCTACTCTGCTTACTAAAAGGATTCCATACTGAGTACATCATACAATTTACGATCCCCATCAAAAATATAATATAATAACTCTCAATAAAACGGCACAATAATTCAGCACTATGCCCTGGCTTTCTTACCCACTCCTAATAATGACACTGGTAAAACCTTTTCACAATGCCCTTCACGACACTCACTATTTGTGCAAAAATTAGAAATTTACATGCTGTGACTGCTTCTTACTATAATAATTATCAAACGTAAATTAACAGTGGTGTGACTGTGTTACACGTGAGGTACTCAAAGAATGGTGTGTACAACAGGCATAGTGATTTCTTTGAAAATTAATGTATTAGGCTGTATTCCCAGAGCTTTTAGATCGATCTATCCCCGCAGGGAGTCTCACTAGATTACTGTCAGATAATCCGGCTTAAATGTCTGTCCTGCCTACTACAAGCTGTAAGGGGGTAATTCACTTTCGTGTCCGCTCGGCTGACAGCTATTTAGCGTGAACCCCCAGGGAGTTAGGTCGATCTAAAGTAGATCGATCTAATCTCTGGAAATGGGGTCTTAGATAATGACAGGAAAACTTAGTTTCAGTAAATAAAACTGTTACAATGGATAATTTAGAGGTCTATTGTGTCAGTGAAAGCATAATGCTTGTTAAATTGTTAAAGAAGAGTAAAACTGAGAAATTTTATCATACCATAGTATTTACCACTCTGCACATAGACCACCTTGGTTTCCCCTGCAATCAATGTTAGTATTAGGAGGACTACTATTGAAACTGCTATAATATTTCAACTACTCTCCCGCATATGAAAGTTTGATCATTCAGATTACCGTTTGGATAACCTGGTTAATCACTTAAAGTGAAATTAAAAAAACCTTCTGAGTTTGACATAAATAAAGAGAAGCCTCAACTGGCCAGATATGAATTAACCTATATATTATTTGTCACTGATGACTTAAAGAAATCTCTTGCAACTCGGAATGGAAGAGATATAAATGCTGACAACATGAAAATAAAATGTTACAGCTGCGTTACTATGCACTTAAGAATGTTAAACTATGATGCAGTCAATCAATACTTAATTTTATCGCCCAAACCTAAAAAAAATTACATAGCCAGAGAAAAGACTATCACAAATGAGCAATCATCAACATTTAAAATGTGTCTGACGTGAAGCATCCACCATCAACAAAACTGATACTCACTCATGGTGTGAATCAAAGAGGAAAATGGGAAAAACAGTAAGCAATAAACAGAGGGAATGCATACACCATCACTCCAAATGTGATCTAGGTTTTATGCCATTGTTGGATGAAATGGGTAGATAAAAAGGTTCCCTTTTTCAGATAGAAATAAAAACCTTTTGACATGGTGCAAATTCAAATTTCTTTGAATTACTGATTTCTTCAAGCAATCAGTCCAAATCTACGGCATACTCACTTGGAGAGCCACTTTGGTGATATGTGAAATTGGAGGGCAAGGAATACTGTTTTCTAACTTTATTCCGTTGTCTCACACACTCTTCCTTGTCAGGATTTTCATCTTTCACATCTGATGGACACTGGGAAATCAAAGTAAAGTAATGTGAGGACTATATAAAATAGCATAGCAATGACAGGGTTACTTTACATGGTAAAATACCAGATATTATAGTTAAATGCTTACTAATCTTTAATCTTAAAGTGATCCTTATTCTTACAACAACAAACTCTTATACAGAAGTGTCGAGATTTTCAAAATCTCTTTGCTGATGTAAATATTGCTTAGTATGTACCTCTTTTTCATCTCCTTCCTTTTTCTTTATATGTTCATCCTTTAACTCATTTTCTATTTCTTTCTCTATCTCTGCATCCTCAACAGCCAGTTTGTTGGATTCCTATAAAAACAGAGAGAGAATGTTTTTAATACGGCTAAATTTTTAGTGGACTACAATGCCCCAGGCATAACAGGGGCAGTGCCCAGAACAACCTGTATGATATGTTATTAAAGAAAGTACTCTACCACAAAAAGATGAGACACATTATCAGGACAAAGATGAAACATACAGCAATCCATAGTGATATACTTTAGCAGACATATCTGACTTATCATCTCTGCCAAGGAATTATGATTAAACCTTTGTTGGTTAGTTACAATAACCTTAATTAAAAATTTATGGACGGATTTTGATGACATTTCAGGATAGGTCAAAAACAGGCTAATTAGCATTGATTAGATTTTGGTGGTGATTAATTCATAATTAATGATAAGGAGAAATAAGCTTCCTTGGAAAAGATCTGTGTTCTCTGAGTGCTTTTCTAGTCTCTGTTTGATACCAGAAGATTAGAAACCCAACCAAATTTGATGCAGAAGTATCTGGCAGAAAAGGAGAACAAAATATTGCATGGATATGTAATTTTAAGTGACAGATTAAACTGTTCCAACTTAAACCAGAAATAGTCCTCTGTCTGAACCAAAAGCTAGATTCCAGAACCAGAAAAATTTTGAGCCCCTCATATAAAATACTGAATTTTAAGTCCTTTCTATTACTCTGTGAAAAGAGTTATAGACTACATTTGGCTTGAGTTGGACTCATAATAGGTTTCTACAGTTCTAAACAAGTTATTAAGTTTTTATAGATCATTGATCATTCACAAGATGTGCAGAAGTTGTAATACAGAAAGCAACCAGCAGTAACTGTATTAGTCATTGATATCAAGGTACTAAAACAAGGACATAAGGCTAAAACTTCTTCAGTATAAAGTCAAAACTGCTACTTTCTTCGTCTAAAATACCATGACATCTGGGCCATTAAAGAACCCCAAAATTCCATTCTTGCCATAGATTATTGGATTATGTTCTTTTCTTAGCAAAAGGATTTGAAGATAAATTATAACTGGATATTTTAAATTAAACATGGGGATATATGGCAAACAAACACATTTTTTCATTAATAAAAATTAAATAGTATTAATTTAAAATAAAAGTTGCCATAATCTCATTTTTGATGTTTTTATGGCCTTAATGTGAGGGAACATCTTAATCTGAAAATTCTTGAATAATACGTAACATATAGCACAGACAGTTGTGCACCTTTTAGCCTTATTTTAATAAATATTTAATGAAAATCTTTTTAAAAAAGTTATTCAAGATCAAAACAAAAACATTTTGGTATGAGGACTGAGCACTACATTTGTGGAAAAAGTTTTAGTATTTTAGTATTTTAGTAGCAGTATCAGCATGACTTGCAATTAAACGAAACAAAGAATTAAGGGTGCTGTTACACTCCTCATACCTTGCCTTTTATCATTATCCTGCATCACATATTCATTACAACTTTTATACATTTAAGGTAAAATAGTAAATTTTTATCTGCTTTAAATGCTGTACATTAGTTCTTGGCTATTTCCTCTAGATTGGCTTAATGTTGTAATTCTAGTAAATAGCTAAGAATGAAAGCAGCTTTGCTTGTTTCCACAAAGACGTATGATCAACATGGTTTCTCATGGATGCTTTTTTTTTGTAGCTGCTAAATACTTAGCAAGAGAGGTAAAATGAGTTTTATATTACAGGAATTTCTACAATAATTATATGGTTTATTTGAAATAAACAAAATTTGCCATCATTATATAAATGACCCATATGTCAGATGCATGGTTACCTTTATTTTGCATTGGAAAAATAATTGGATATGTTGAGAAGTTTTATCTGAGTATTAAGAGTGCTTTAAATCAAGTCATTGTAGCTCATAATTTACAATTATATGGGTATATAACATCAAACAATGTTATGAAGTTGTTGCAGACAAAACAAATGAAGAACATAATTGAGTTAAGACAGACAATAACAACAAATCACATGCTGCAGACCGCCACCCACGAAATTCACAACTCTCACAAAGGCATTAGCAGATGAAACTGTTTGAAAAAAAAATTATAAATCAGTGAAACAACTGAGCTTTATACATACTGTACATACATAGCTGGTGGACATAAAAACACAAGGTACCTGAAATTTAAATTTCTCAAAAAGTATCCCCTGCAACTCTATGAAATTCTAGTAAATACTTCTACAAGTCATTGCCTCAGACACATTGAAGTTTTGGGTTTAATAGCTTCATAAAATTCATGCTGAGTTAAATGGAAAAAATGGCATTACAAAATTTCAGTGCAATTTTATAGTTTACAATATAAGACAATGGCTTTCATCCCTACAATCCCAATCTCTATCCAGGTATATTCTCAATCAAGATAAGGGAATATCTAGTACTGTTAAGATGATCACATTCAGAGAGCATTCAGAGCATGTCACTATCAAATTCATGAAGGGTTATGACTAGATTCACATCCAGAGGATGACAATCCAATGAATCGCAAAAAATGGAGCCTAGTTAATCAAGGTGGAGTTTTCAAGGTTCAACAAAGGTGAATACATAGACCACATTTCAGAATGTTGTAAAGATACTAGTATATGCTTGGTCAAGGCCAAAACTTGTTATAACAGAGAGCAGCATTCAAGTGTGCAAAATACAGATATATATCACCATTTCTAACAGATGTGTAACTTCAGAATCCTTAGTCTCAGCATTAAGCACCAATGTAAGTAACAAAGGTAGGTACAACGTAAGTCTAAAATTCTTATCATAAGATTTCTCAACAAAGAGAAAAAAATTTCCTTGAGAGAAAAAATTTGCTCTCACTCGGACTTAGACTGCCATGTCATCCTTACAATTCCAAAAGAAATATCAACACCAGGTACTTTCATTTTAGGGACTTTGTCATTTCTAAGGTCTGGATTGGGAAAGATGTGTAACTTTGCGTGATGTGTAGAAAATTGAAAATAAGACTTTGGGACATTTTCAAATACAAATAGTATACCTTCAAATGTGTAAGAGGCATCGCTTAGTAGTGTTGGATCAAATTTCATAGATTTTTCATGGATAGATTTTGAGACATATAAATCTGAAGATTGGTGTTTTTTTTATCCACCTAATATATACTTATAAGAACTCAGCTACCTGAAACTTGCCATCATCATCATCCGTACGAAACTGAATGCATAACAAGAAAGAGAGAGAGAAAGAACAAAAGATATATGGGTGAACATTTACAACAAATGCTTGATTAATAGTAAATAGAACAAAAAATGGTGACAGAAAGTAGATATCAATTTACTGAAAAAAACCCACTCCATTTAAATGCACATGCCACATATCCAAAATTTGATTTTTTTTTCTTTTTGCAAGCAATGTATCTACATTTATAACTTAATAACTGGTAAATGGAAAAGGTATATTTGATTTTAGAGATTTATGTAATTAAATTACATAAAGCATGAGTGATATCCAAAATGATAATTTTTTGATGTCAATAATTTTTTTACAAATGCAAATTTTTGAAAAATCGGCTGAAATATCTTAAAAGTTTTTACACTAGCTTTTATAGTTATTTTCAATATCATTCCATAAAGAGAAAATGCCATACATAAGGTAAACAAAGACAGAAAGACAGACAAACCAACACACAGACATAAACAACCCATTTCATACATTAAAGTTGATGCTCATTTTTACCTACATGTTCTTTATGTAATAAACAGAGAAATATGCATAATCAAACCAATTCCTTTATGAAAATAGCAAACATTATAATATGAAATAACACCACCATTACACATAAATAAGCCTTCTCCAAACTATATCAATAAACCCACAAAACTGTAACAATCCACAATGTACCATTACACTGCTGACATGTAACCTCACCTCCAAGTGTTTCATTAAGACTGCTACGACCACATTGACGAGAACAAATTGTGCCATCAGAACGAAGATGACAAAGTAGATGGGAGCGATCACTTGGCTCACACAACAGTTGATTTCACAGTCTGCGCTGTCGTCACAGTCCTCTCGCAGTGTGTCCTATAATACAGAGAAACACAAATTGAATCATTTCAACATTCAGAAGGCATGGGTCATGTGTTTTTTTTAAAAAAGTCAATCTCAATGCAATAGACTAAATAGAAAAGATTGTGATAAGGGTTCAATTACATAAAAATGTATAATTCACAAAAAAGTTTATAAAAAAAATAGTAAGAGTACTGTCAAATTTATGAAGTGTGCATATTCATCACGTTTTGAGTAGTTCTCTTATAACACCAGTTGCAATTATGATTTCATGTACTCATTTTGTTTTATTTTGTTCTCATTATTACATAGTCTTTGACATATAATCAACATTTTCATCTATCAATTTATAATCTGTATTATATTCTGATATTTCTATACAGAAAAAGTTTTTATGGAAAGGTAAAATTAACAGAATCCATATCTGGACATTTGTCAGATTACAAAGAGTACTTGAGCCACACTCTTGTCCTATATTCCTTATTATACCTTCATGATTCCATTCCAGTTGTCCCCTGTTGCCACTCTGAACAGTGTGAGGAATGCTATACCAAAATCCTTAAAGCTGGCATGTTCACTCAGTCCTTCACATGGATGCTCCCTGGAACATTCTGGAAAACCACAGTGACAAATTTTTTTCTGTTTTCATTTCTCTCAAAAGAATTTTTCAGCACTTCGTAAAGCAATTTTGGAAAGGAGCAAAAACTTATATTATAGACTGGCAGTTTTCTTTCTAAAAAGAGAGAGAGCTTCTCAACAATAGATGTACAGTGGGCATGATCTAATATCACACTGTTCATTCTAAAACACTATTACAATACTGAAAGAGAACAAGAAGAGATGCAGCTCCAAGGTCAGTGTTGCTCTGGTAGCATTATTTACTCATTTGATTATTGATTTATTAATTTACCTATCTTTCAAGAAACAAACTGGGCCTAATTTATGCAAACCCACTTACCAAGCCTTCCAAACAACTCTACTCCAAGTGCAGCAAAGATGAAGAATAGAAGAAAGAACAGGAGGGCTAGGTTGCCCACTTGTGGCAGGGCCTGTATCACAGTATCCAGCAGGGCACGAATGCCCTTAGCCATCTTAAGAAGCTTCAAGACTGGAATGAGAAAAGAAAAATGTAATGAAGTAGGAAAAACTCTTCAGATATTTTTCAAGTTATTATTAAGTTCAGTTTTATCTTTTCATCAAAATATCATCATCAAGACTAAACGTTTGTACATGTTTGAACATGTTTCAAATACTCTTTTTGTGGTTATGAGCCTTGGATGTTTCATGGCAATATTCAATCAACATGTATTGCACTTCAATGAAGTTTGTCATTAACATTATTCAAAATATTGATATCACAGAAAATAAATGGTTTAATTGATTTTAGCATTGTGAGAACAATTCTGAAAGATATTTCAGTGTTTTAACATGCATGCATGTAAAACTACTTCAAATATAAAGAGGATCTCCCTATTATCTGCAAGAAATGTAGTTACAAACATTCATTTAAAGATAAATTATGAGGCCTGAATACACTAATACTTCTAACAAGAATAAATTGACTTTGAAATTTTCAAAAAATACCACTTAAATTACACTTGTTTGTCTAATAAAAAATAGTAATACAAGGTATTCATAAAATTCTAAAACATAAAATCTTTTCAATCAAAAATATGATGGAATGTCATTTTTTGTAAATGTGTGGCTAATATAAGGTTGATGATATAAGGTTGATCAACTTTCAGTTAGTGGTATGACAGATGGTTTGCCCCCTTTTTAGATGAGATGTGAAACTTATAACCTGTCAATCATATGGTAATATCACAAAGGAACTAACTTGGCATCACCAACCAACCAGATTACACCATGAAGCTAAATGGATCTGGTTAACCAGAGATGTCATTTCACATTATATCTTATCTGTTAGTCCTCTTGTGATCTCACCTACTAAAACAAATTATCTACTGCAGATTTCTATTGCTGGTAATAACTTTTTGTTATTGTGGAACATTTTGCATTTTGGAAATTTTCCAGCACTTTCATTCATGGAAAACACATTCTACTGTTAACAGATCTTTATCAGTTACAAGACAATAAACTGACAGACTGGAAACACACTAAAAGCACATATATGTTTTGAAAATATTTCAGATAAAGTTAATTTAATTTTAAAATATGAAGAGTTACACCTAATGTGTAAGTGTACGTTTAGTAGGAATATAATTCAAGAAGACAAAGTTCACAAAGGCATGCACATGATATAGAACATTACAAAGTCCATGCATAAGATCTACAGCAAATGGTATAATATACGAAAAAGGAAATCATGCAAATTTTTCAATTGTTCAAAAATATGAAAATATTTTAAATTTTGATTTAAAACACACACACCTGAAATTTATCAGATTTTACTCAAGTCTACCTCAGCCCATAGAGAACATGCTCTGTGATAACACTGATGCCATGACAACAGTTGCCATGACATTTTTGTCATGGTAACATCATCATCTTCAATAAAACAGCACCATATTTACAAATGGACATGTTTATATACACCACAAAATAACGTACAAAATAGAATACACAAGCAAAAAATTTGGATGATAAAGAGTTTAAGTCATATAATGATGAAAAGACTAAACACATACATTACTATACACTTTGAAACTTCAGATCTAAGAAGAAATGGAGCATATTTTGATAACATGAAACATTACCAGTGCAGTACCTTTGAATGTATCTTTATAGGCAACAAAAAAAGATAAAAAACGAAATGTCATGAATAAAATTGGAAACAAAGGTCATTCAACACATTATTAATAAGATATAGATAGGTTGAAGCAAACGGGGTTGGGGTTGACATTAAATCTTTGATTTGGTAATTTCTCAACACCTAGTTATGTTATTACTTCCATCAGCATAAGAATCTTTAATTCAGACAGCTTAAATTCACAACATAAAAAAAGCAGAAGCTAGTGTATAGTATTATTAGAATTTCACATTATTTCCTTCGCCGTGGAGTTTTTCTTCTCTGGATCTCGTGCACAGACTCATGCTCACAGAGAACATTTTTTTGCAAGCTTTACCACGCAAGTTCAGATATATAGCACGAAAAAGATAAAGATCTACTCACTAAACAATGAGATACACAATCACTGAGAGCAAACCGTTTCAAAACTTACTTTGACATGTCTTTTCAATATTGACAGCCATGCATACAACATCATTTGACAGAAGTGATAGACATTCTTAACAGGAACAAGTAGTTGCCACTAAAGAAGAGTTCATATAAGATAATGACCACCCATACCATCACGATAAACCAATTAAGTCATCACCATCATTGTGTTTAACAGAGACACAGATTCTAAATAGGACAAGTAATGGAAAAAGCTTGGTGTTTACCCCTGGCAATCCTGAGCACTCTCATCACACGGATGATGGTAGGGTTGATTGGGATCAGTCCAGACTCCATCTCCTCTAACGCAATGCCCACTATTGACAGGATGACTATGAACATGTCCAGTTGGTTCCAGCTATTCAAGAAATCAGATGTGTAAAATGTGTGATGAAATGAGATAATGGAAAAGAAAGGAACAGAGACCATACAGTCATCATATACACAGCAAAAGATTATGTCATTAGACATATTATGAAAATGTCACATACTATATTATTTCCATCTAAATACTTTTCAAACACTTATCACTTTTTCAAAGGAAATGTGAAATACTGGACAGCAAGAAAAAGAAAAACAGAGCTGAAGACATTCCAGTAGTAATTTTCAACTTCAAACATGCAGATGAACCTTAAAAATCTCTGCCTTTTAAATAAAGATTCTTCCATTTACCACAAAATATTTGGATTAATTTTGACCATAACAGGATGGTGTGTGTGTGTGTGTGTGTGTAGAAATAAAATGTGTCAAAATCATTCAATCAAGTTCAATTATGCTTTCTTTAAGGTGCATTTTGACAATTCAGAATCTACTAGCAAATTTCAAATAAAACAAAGATATTGCTTGGCAGCGGTAAACCATACAGAATACCTGTAAACAACAATAAATATGTTATAAATTTTCCAATAATTATGCCATTATGCTGTATGTGGAAAGTAAAAATACAGCAGACAAAATGTCTGGCAGTTATAGGGCAAACCAGCAGAGCAAAACAATACAGAATACATACAGATAAATATAACATCTGTATATAATTACTTAAGACAAAAAAATAATATATATTAAAAATATTATTAAAAATATCAAGCAAAAAAAGTGCATTTTACCTGTCCCTTATGTATCTAACAAACCCTGTGGCAGCAATCTTCAGTGAGGCTTCAATCACAAATACACTGGTGAAGAAGTAATTGAATATCTTCAATGCAAATGCCAATTCCTGAAAAATCACACAGAGCAGGAAACAAGTTAAACCACTCATCAAAGGTCAGGTTTAGATTTCAGTTTGTTGGGTGATCATATATTTTAATGGTTTCTAACCTATCCCTTTTTTGCTTAAAGTGAACCAGGATTACAGGTGTCAAAAGTACTGGTTAAATTCTTTAAAGCATTCCCATTGAAATCTAACACAAAATATAAGTTATGTCTTACTGCTGGCATCAGGTAAAATTCCATGGCCATTGTGACCACATTTAGACCAATTACAGCAGCAATAGCCAGATCAAAGTACTTGCTGTTGACAACAGTATGAACCAAAAGACGGGGCTTAGAATAATCCAACCAATAGGACACTTCTGCAACCTCTGGAATAAACAAAAGATGAAATAATTCAGAGACTTCATACCATCTCATTATAAATAACATATGACATAATATAATAATCCACTATTAATCATAGAAACAAAATAAATACAAAATATTAGTATTTACACAACATTTCACTTACATGTAGTATGTCTTACCAAAAATGCCAATCTTCTTTAACAATCCTTATTTCAATTACTGTCAGGTATGTACTATTAAGTAATTTTCAATCACAAAACCATGCTACCACTTTACAGACGTATATGTCCCTCAACTTGAAGCATAATACTTATGGAACATGCAAACACTTCACCAAAATAACTAACCTAATGAAAACACAGACCCCTTCAAGATCAATTAAGTACTAAATTCCTGTGAGGATTTTATGGCAAGAAATGTGAAAATCAAAGTGCGCATGACCCTCTCTTCTAATCCCCCCCCTCCCATAAAACAACATTTTCATGACAACTGTATAAAATCATTGGTAAAACTGCCTTTTCGATGCAATATTTCATCACAAAAACAACTTTACCTGGATCATGCAATAACAAAATACCTGACCATCACACATATGCCCATCCAAAATAACTAACATGACTACAAACAACTTGATACATATTTTGAAAAATTCTGAAGATATTTGATGTAACAATCTTTGCCATCAGTGTTTGCAGGGGGGGGGGGATATTGGGGAGGGGAAGAGAGAAAGAGACTAAGAGAAGAGGTATAATCTGATATCAAGAACCCAATGTATATTATTGCCTGATGTGCTATCATCCGTTTTTTAACTAACTTGAAAACGGAAATGGGAAGGTAGGAATTTATCAACATCATAATATCTAATCAACCAATCAGTCAATCAATTGCTAAAAAAAAAGTTCTGTATAACAGACAACATATGGACACAAATACAGCTTCTAGCTAAATCAAAACCTAAATTGTTTCTAACAATTATTTCAAAAACAAATGTAACAATCTCAATTCCCTACACAGCCCAGCTGGAATTCTAAATGAGCATGCAAGAAACAATCAAAGCATTATTGAAGCTAAGTTATCAAATATGCAATAACCGTTCAACAAAACAACAATAAACAGCCCAAGTATTTGTTTTCTGGAAGTAGCGTGCATAAATTGTTTACCAAGTTTTTGCAGAAGTGGCTGCAGAAAGGCATTTGGCATTATAACTGTGTGAAAAATAAAAAAGTATACATATACAAGTTTATAAAGTGCATCAAATAAAATTGGTATTATAAAACAGTGTGTATAAAACATGTAAAACAATGTTAATGATTAGTAATAATTTCGCTTAAGAGAAGTAATAAAAAGAGATGTATTTGATTAAAAAATTTGGAACTTTCATTTCAGAAAAAAGTTTTTTCTTTCAATTTCCTTAGGGTTATATACACCCAAGTTAAGTTTAAGTTCCTTATACAAATTCTATCATAAAAGTTTTTGAGACATCTATGATATATATATATATATATATATATATATATATATATATATATATATATATATAACTTGCATATCAAATTAAAAAATATATCAATTACACACTATAATTTGCAAGATTGTTCAATCATGTTTTCAAAAACTATTTGGCCAGAAATGCCTAAAGGTCAACAATATATTTTTCAATTGCTAATGATATGAAAATAGAGTAAGGCATGTGCAATTTATACAAAGTCACACAAGATATTATTCAAATCTATGGCATGGAAATTAAATATTTCAAAAGGTGAAAAATGAAGCTGGTGTATAAAGAAAAACAAAATTTAATGATTATTTTAAGCTGATAGTAAAATAGCAGTGAAAAATATAATTCTAAATATCATAAACTAACCAGCTGCATCATTTGTTGCTTCTGTCTTCCTCTTCTTTTCTAGCTTTCGAGCACGCTTTGCTTCACGCCGTGCACGTTCCTCTTCTTCAAGGTCAGCTCGACATTTGTGAAAATTTTCCACCACCACTCCGACAAACATGTTAAGCACAAAGAAGGCCACCAGGAGGAGGAAAGAAATGAAGTACACTATCCTCCACTCACTGTAGTTTTCAATGGGCTGAAATCAAGGCACACGTACACTATAAATCAGAACCTTTTTTTCTTAATCAAATAAATGTCTAAATATGAATTAATTTTTTTGTGATTCATAAAGGCCAAGTGCTACTGTAACAGAAGAAATGTATTTTTTTTTTTGCTGAAAAAATAATCACCTGTTGGTCAACTCCTACAGCATCCAGTCCCGTGTACATTATACTGACCCAGCCATCTTTGGACGATAATACAAACAGCGCCATCAGTGCCTGGTAATATTAAATAAAAGACCATAAATAATCTTAATTTATCAATTCAAACACTTTTTTCATTCTTGGTCATCACATCTCAAAGATTCTATCATATTGATAGTCTAGCTGTTGGCCTACTAAATGACTAGAGCAATAACTATTTCATCTTATAGCCTTCATATAGAATATCAGTAGATATGCAGTATTAAAATGAAGTCTCCAAACTTCTTAAATGTAGACATAATCTAACTGATATGCATAATGCCAATATTTGTGACATTACTGCATTGCACAATATGGCATTACCTGACCAAGGTTGTCAAAGTTATATCTGTGGTTCATCCATTTGTACTCTCTGCCCTTTGCTTCACACATTGTACGATTCTTTACATCAGACACATCTGGACCACGGCAATGGTAGAATGTCCCTTTAAACAACTGAAAGGCATGAAAAATGCACAGAAATACTATTATTACTAATGTATAAATCTAGTTTGATAATGAATATTGTGCAAACCATTTTGTAAATACATTAGTTATGTAAACTGAAAACTAAAAATCATTGTCAACACAGTAAATTAGACTCATCACACATCTTGTTACCAGAAGGATTGGAACTATTTCATAATAATGGTATGTTTTGTAACAGAGGATACATAAAAATAGAAATGTGTGCAATTGAACAGAATAATTGGGTGTTACAATGCACAGGCATTTCCTCCTAATCTATATAATTTTCCTTCAAAAACAAAAACAAAAAAAGAACTAAAAGCTATAGCGATCAATTTACAACATGAATATCAGTACCACTCACCTGCACTCCAAGGATACCAAAAATGATGAAGAAAGTGCAGCAGATGAGCACGATGTTTCCAATGGGACGTAGGGATGACAGGAGAGTCTCTACTACAAGCTTTAGCCCTGGAGCGCGGCTTATCACTCTGAAATAAGTGTACAAGTTGCATTTTAAGATAAATTCTTTGCTATTATAGATAAATAAAGAAAGTGATATTGAGTTTTTTAGATGTTATTCAATACTATGTGAGTTCATGGATATCATAAAAAAACAAAATCACTTGGTCTTTTCAAACCACCAAACTAAAATGGCAATATAAGAGGGAATACTTGGAAACATCACAAAAATGAGAAAAATTGCACTTGTTGGCATTAAACAAATGTAAATGGTTTATCTGCCAAAGTAAAGATTTCACAAATTTAGTTTCTCTGATGTGGTCTCAATCATTACTAAAACCAAGAAAATAAACAGATCAGTCTATTTTTGGCAGCACAAAATATTAGGAATTACAACCAAATGATCCAATTTTGTGATAAAAAAACCTAGGTGAAAACCTTTCTCATGACCAATACTTATTGGATTTTTAAAAGACAAATTAGATGTTGATCCAATCTACCTAAATGAACATGTTGTGCAATAGATAGCAGAAAGCAGTGGCTAACTTTAGCTTCTGCCAGACGTCATACATCCATTGTGGTCTATTAAGGCTCTAATCTACCACAGGTACCTAGGTTCTCAAGCTCAACAATGACACCAGGTTGCTTTATAGCTTTGTAATAAATGGTATGTTAACTGGCGTAGGTGAGTTGTGAGCACACATTATTGAGTTTATTCATCAGCAAGAGACCAGATTTAGAACCATTAATAACCTCAGGAAGTTGGTGCAATCATTTAAATCTTAAGAAGTGATTATAATAAATGTTGTCAAGAAATGTACATATGAAGTGTACAAATCTACTTCAAACTTCAGATCTGTGGTCAAACTGACTGGTTTCAAAATTTACCCAGTTAAATGAATTTTGCAGAAAAATCTTTAGAAGAACATGTTCCCATTCAAGCATAGCTTCAATTACTGAAAACTGCTCATTTGTGAGTCCTAGCATACTTGAGATAAAAAAAATAAGAATGTCCTCTCTCTTATATTAATTATTATTATTATTATTATTACTGAAAACCAATTTCAAATGTATCAGTTACAAAAGACATGAGGACATCAAATATAAATTTTGTCTGTGAAAGGGGAAGAAATTAAAACATTTGCTGGACAGGAAAACATGTTTATGCTTGTAGTTATACTGGCCATCCATGCCAAAGTACCCAATGACCGCATTAAAGAATTTCGTTTCCATGAATTCTCATTCACACCCTCAAAGTAATATTTCTCCCTTTTGCCTCTCCATTGAAACATAAAGTACAGCATAGTGGAGGCACAGAAGACATTCAAGAGTATAATGTGGCAATAAATATCACTCAAATATAAACAGTGGTTTATGTTTACCCCATTAGTCTACAATTGCTTTAACATCATGCCAAATGAAGTAGTTAAGCTGATTTACAAAGTGTCCTTGATAAAAATTAACTCACCTTGAAATTTGCCTTTCATGAAAGTAACCTTCAAATAAAGCAAAAATCACAATCTTCCCACTCAAAATTTTCTAACATTTGGAAGATATAATTTACTACAACAACAACAACAACAACACACTATGTATTCTGTTTCCTGTTCATCTTTACCATTTATCACTCACCTAAGTGGTCTAAGAGTTCTCAACAACCTGAAGACCCTGAGAATGCCAAATATACGGGGACTGGAGGTGGCCGTGTTAGCTATGATGATATCCAACAAGGAGATGAAGACTAAGAATCCATCCATGACATTCCATCCACTCTTCAAGTAGCAATGGGTACCAAACATAAAACCTTTGGCTAAAACCTGGGAAAATAGATGCACTCTCAAACTATTGCATTTGATGAACAGTTAAATAACACATGAAAGCATAAGCATGGGTAAAAGTTGTAAAAATTGAAAATCTTGAAAACACAGTTCGCAATTTTTCATTACATTTAGACAATATTAAAAAAAAACAATCAAAACGAAGACTGAAAATCATAAAATCAGGCATAATCCTGAAAACTTTCACCCATGAGCAATAAGGTATAACTTAAGGACATTTAAACAGAGTTCAGTATAAATTCGAAATATTTAATTTAATTTAGTAATAAAACTTTTATAAAAGTTTCGCCAAAAGGAATCTTTTAGTTTTCTTGAAAGGCAGTGCTTTTTTCTTTGTTACAGAATTTAAAATTGCAATGCCTTTTTTCTTTTGTCTTGTGCCAGTTCATCTTGAAATCTTACCTTGACTGTCATTTCAAATGCAAAAACTGCAGTAAAAACATAGTTACTACAGGTGAGGAACTGTCTTTCCTACAAATAGAATTAAAAGAACATGAAATGAACATGGCACAATTCAAGAATACATAAATAATTTACAATGTAAATAATGCCAGTTGTCTATCATGTCCATCCAAAAATTCCTAGCTTTTAGGGCAGGTTACTATAAAAATATTTGCTTTCAATTATTTTAGGGCAGAAATTGTGTGTTCAATAAGAGGTCAATCACTAATGATTATCTACATGTGAATTTATCTGGGAACCAAAGATACAAAATACAAATGACATGAACATAAATAGAAAAAAATCTTATTTCATTTTGGTTTGTGGAGGAAAAACATTTGATACCGAAATAAACAATGACATTCAATAAAATTTCATTTACATACTGCTGCTTAATTTCCAATGATAGCTGAACAAACAAGACGGGTTGCCATACATATTGTTTTCTTTTTCAGCCAAAGGTGACGCATGAGTTATGCAATCTATCAGCAAGACATTGACAGCATATAATAAAGTGGAGACAAATTTGTAGCTCCTACTAGTCACCATGGTAACATGAACACAGTTGACATCAGAGTGTGAAGTAAATATATCGTCACTCACCACGCTGTCTGGGGGAATACTTGGTCTCTCCATTGCAAGGGTGATACAGTTCAATGCAATGAAAAACAGAACAGTATAATCAAACCAGTTCTTGGCCACCAAGTGGTGAAGCAATATCCTGAATCTGAAAAAAAAAATGAGAATGTATTTACCATGAGGGATTTTTCCCTTTTTCACATTTACCAGATAACTCTTGCATTTAGCTGTGTGACATTAACAACGCATATGCCATGGCTCTTCATCAATGATATATTTTGTTTAACTATTAAACATTATTACCCATTATACTTACTTATTGTGGGGAGACAAGAGAAAGAGGGACCACTCCCAGCGTTCCTTGAAGCAGCCTTTTGGTTCTGGGCACCAAGAACAGGACCAATCCTGGAGAGAGGAACATCATGGATGAAACAGCAAATGAATGAATAAACAGAAAGAGAAAAGGAAAGGAAAGAGAGGGTGGGGGTTGTGGGATGGGATAAAAAGTACAAAGATAAAAAAGGGGACTTATCACCTCATCAACCTGATACTGCTTCAACAGGTAGAGAAGTGAAAATGGTAAGAAAGAAAGAATGTAGCAAGGAAGGATGGAAGGGAACTTACTGTTTCATCCATAGCATCTGGATCTGCTTCATCAAGGCAATCTTCTTCTTCTTTAGGCTCCGCCTGGCTATCTTGTGTCCTATTTAAGTTATTCTGTTTGTAATCCTCAATAGGTGTAACACTCCCTATGGACACTTGAGGACTAAGAGTCTTGTGACTGTGAGCAGAATTTTCTTGTCTATGATGGAAGGAATTACATCTGGTTGCATTGCTCTTGTTACTGTTGAGAGAATTTTGCCTGCTGTGATTTTCTGTAAATGAATTTTTTGGTTCCAGTCTTCTATTTCCTTTGATGGAGTTTTGTGGACTAATGGAGTGGTTGCTTTTAACTGAATTTCTCGGAGTTAAAGGCCTCTGATTGTTGAGAGGTGCATGTCCATTGCAATCACTAAAAGAAAAAAAATACAGATGATTTATAATTTCAGATTATCAATAAAGCTGATGACTGTTCTGAAACAAAGGTCTGATATCAGAAAGTATCACATTTTATCCATGAATGACATCCTTGGAATAATTATTTGTTATAGTACCATCTTTAAAAGAAAAAAATAAGCTTGTACAATAATCTTCCTGAAGCATGCAACTTTTTTATTAGGATTTTTGGATTACAAAGCTTTTGCTTTTTACTCAGTTTTGATAAACAAGATGTTAAAAATTGAAAAAAAAATGCAAAAATAAATACAGTTTACAGAAATAAAATACTCAGGCAGTTATATTATTAATTTGCTAAAAGATAACAGGAATGCACAAAGGTGATAACAACAACAATGTACATAATTTCTACTATATGTTTACAATCATGTACAATGCTACATCACACTGTGCAACATTACATATGTGCATTTCACACAGGTATTAATAGGTAGAAAAGATTAAAAGTTCATTAACTAAATACACTACCTTTACTGTAACAGTACACACCATAACTTTTTCTAAAAACATTGTCCATATGGCTCTTTTATGGCTTAATTCCACACCGATAAACTTTTAAAAACTATCATTACAGTGTATATAAAATATTATAAGTAATAGTGCCTTCATACAAGAAAATGAAAAAAAACTGGAAAACAATCAGAATTAGTACATGGCAACTGCTGAACATTATTTATCAAATAACACGTGGTTGAAGCACTTCACACTGCATCCAAGCAAGACAGATGTAAACAGAAAGAATTAGTAAGAAATCTATCAACCACTAACACATGACAACTACACAGGTGAAACTAGGGATAAGTATACCTATAGGCTGACACACTAGAGGGGCAGCGATAAGAACAATACACTTGGGCATAATGGTTGGAAGAAGGCTTTGCAACATCCAATAAATGGAGGTAAGTTGGTCGAGGTACAGGTCGCGAAGCAGGTAAACTGAGAAAAGAAATGGTGATGTCAATTGTAATATTACACTGAATATTACTAGAATAATGCACAATAAGAAGCAGCACATCTGATATGTCAACAGATATACATTTTTTATCTTTCACAAAGGGCATATATATATAATACAAATTTCAAAATCAGAACTGGAGGCTTTAAGGATCTTTCACAGAAAACAATGACTAGGCATTTCATGCACCTTTAAGGCCTTAAAATTCCTGAAGAGTGGGAGAACTGCTTTATTTTTTCAATATATATGCTTTGATCTGTTGCCAAATATTTAAATGGATAGGTTATTAACAAAAGGTATACGTAACAAGCTAGAGCTCAAACACATTCCAGGTGGACATAAAAACACATAGGGGATGAAACATTTTAGATTTAATTGGATATGTGAGATTATATGCAATATACAGCTTTCATGTATTTGTGAACTTAATAAAAATCAAACTGGTCCCCTTTCATAACAACAAATTGATTCACACCTTTAGAAACATTATTAAACAGTTTCCCTTGAAAAAGAAACAACTAGTGTTTTTTTTTTTTCAATAATGGACATAACATATTCTAGTGCAATATTAAGGTGTCACCCCAATCAGTAATATCTACAACACAATTACAGATAATCTGCCAAAGCATGCTTTTTATACTTCCATTAACTCCCATGCTTATATAACACCCCCATCATAAAGATCTCTCACTTTATTAAAAACAAATGCACCAATACACAAACTAGAATACATGACATTTGCTGCACCCAGTTAATGTTGATTGTGTCTTGATTATGAAATAAGCATTTTGTTTCTCATTGTTTAATCCAGCACATTCTAGACCATATTCATACTGCTAAAACAATAAACAAATGTACTAAAATTGTGCTTCTCATATTCCTGTGCCCAATTCCTGAACTCAGATATGTATTATCTATCCAGCTCTCTCAGTTCAATTATTCATTCACCTATGTTTTAATGAGGTCAATATGCACAGAAGATGGATTCATCTTTTTTAATGAGTACACTTGCCAAGCAGTTTTATGCAAGCAGTTTATGCCATGCCCTACCAAGCTATGTAGTAGTATTGTTTTATACTGTACCTGAAGTAATATGTGACACAATGCCTGGTGGTTGATAGGGAAAGACAATAACATCAATACACATACAGAGATATTAATCAGCATTAAATATTTACTTTGTTATTAATAATATATGTTTTCCACCCTCAAATAAATATTGTTTCAATTCAGTGATAATCATTAAACCACACATAAGGGGGACATTCAAAGCCAGTTTCATTCCAAGACGTAACAATCTCAGTTTTCTTATCAACAAAGCCGTTTATTTAGAGAGTTAGGCATTTCTTTAAAATAGCAGATCCAACAGGAATTTTAGCAGACTTTCAAATATTAGAAAGAACACTTAGTACAAAGCATATTGTGCAAGATCACAATTCATGCAAGGCTCATTAACCTGACAGTAGCATTGTACAATATACAATTGTATGGTCTGTAAAGTAGTCTGCTTTCAACCAAACTCACCTCTGACTGGGGCTGGGGCTAGGGGGAGCCACTGGACCAGCAGGCTTCAGAGAATTTTTGCTGAAAATGTCCTCAGCATCGCTCTGGTCACTGCTGTCTGACTGGCCCACAAGGTTTGCCTCATCTTCCTTTGGTTCATTTCTGAACTTCCAGCTTCTCTGGCTGGACTTGCTGCTGGTGCGTCGAACGAGTTTGGGTGTTGTTGAAGTGCAGAGACGCGGTGAACTGCGTGAACTAAGGCTTCCATTCTGGAATTTAAGTACCTGATTTTTTATCAACAATTAAAAATGTAACAAAATTTGGAAAATCAAATACTGATTTTTTTTATTTGGGAGGCACTGAATATTTTCATTTGCATCAATAAAAGAAGATAACCAAACAGATGCAAAAAAAAAAAAGTGTCTGCAGGCTTAAATAATCACTCTTTTCATTATAACTCTTTTCAAATATCATTTTATTTGGTGAAAAGTGATTCAACATGAAAGGTAGAAAAGTAACAGCGAACATAGTTCAAATCAAAATAAAAGCTTTTTAAATATCTATCCAGTCATTAATCCCTTGGAAAGACCATATATTCCCATTTTAGATATTATTCATCGATTTCAGTTTTGTAACTTTGGCAGAACACAGCTAGCTCTCCTGTACACGTCCTACAATTAGATCAAACTCTAAGAAGATCTCTTTGATGACGCAGTAACAAAACAATGAGTTTGAATAATTTATCAATCAATCCAAATGAACAAAGAGCTCATGAAGTGCCACCTACGTACTGATCTGAATCTATACTGGCATCATGCCAAAACATTTCCACCATTAAAACAATTGTGACCTACATTATTACTTCAATTTATAATAAATAAAATAAACACCCAAAGCTTATCAGTTCTACCAACATGTTCCAGCTGCCATAAGAAAAAGAGATAAATATACTTTTATTCATAAAATATATGAAACTGTACCAAAAAAAAACGGAAACCATAAATGATGTACAGAAGGACATGGAGAGAAACTTTCTTTGATACGGATAAACTTTACTATCATAATAAAGTATTTTTGATATGAAAAAAGACTTTATTATGATAATCACAAGTGACAAATGAGGGAACTATTTAAACTTTAACTGTAGTATATTTGACCTAAAAGGTTTATTAAAAGTTTGAAGTGAATCTGTATTGGAAGGGTGGTTACTCATATGGCTGCCCAAAGTTATGAAATAGTATCTTCCTATACTTTATTAGTCTTCATAAGAACTAGGGCTTCCAAAACTTCCATCATCAAATGTCACTGAAACTGAAACTCTCATTCTATCCTTAAAAATAACTGCACAAACTTAGTATTAAAGCAATGTTATGTTAACTTACAGAAGTCCTATCAATGGTTTCAATTGAGGAAGAGCTGAGGTTGAAGGCATCTTTGACACTCAGCTTGTTGTTGTCCTTGCAGGAAATCTCATGGGGTGATCCGTGTGGCGTTGCCGCTGGTGTTGCTGCAGGGGTGGCCGCAGTGTGAGTGATTATAGGAGGGGGATATTTAGGAGCCTCGGGGTGTTGGCAGCAAGGATCTTCTTTAGTGACAGAGACAGCAGGGGGTGGTAGAGCTAACATTTTGGCTGTAAGAGATGACACAAAGTCCTGATGAGTTGGAGAGTTAGGACGAGAAGGCAAAGGAGTAGGTACAGTGTGTGTGATGATAGGAAGGGCAAGTGAGGGAGAGCTGCCACAGGAGAGACAGGGAGTGCCCTTAGAAAGGTTTCCCTCTTTGATGTTACACCAAGCTGAAGTGGAAGTGCAAAGAAGTTTAGCTGAAACAGAAATAATCAGACTGTTTTATTGTAGATAGTCAAGGAACACAGTAACATCTAAATGCATGCCTTTGAGCATTAATCTTTTTACAGTTTAAAGCTGTTCATTTTGCCTTTTTTTACTTTTTTGTTGCTTATTACCAATTTCAGGGTTGAAACAGTAACTACCAAACCTGTCCACCAAATTCTATTTGATAAATTTATTTTGTATATTACCAAAATATGTTCTTTCCTTCTTTTTCATATTTACCCTTTTCTTTATTATTCTTAATGTCCACTTCACACTCTGTATTGCCATTTACATCTGACAGCTTGTCTTTTCTTTTAGCTTCTTCTTTTTCTTCTTCTTTTGCTTTTTTCACTTGTTCTTTTTTCTTTTCTTCAGACTAAAAAAATAACAAAATCACAAAACTGTGAACACCACATCTATTTTTAAACCTACTTTCAGAAGCATCTGCATAAAAAACAATCCAAGCATGTTGGTAAACATGGCCCCTTATTTGATTAGCTGACAAATTACCACAGCAACTGCCAAATCATAGCAGCTGTTTCAGCTGAATATTATAGACAGCAGAGTGAAGGTATGAGTGATATGTTAAGTCAGCTTATGGTTGCTACTACAATGAGTAGACAACAACTGTTATAGCTCCGTAGGTGTCTTGGCATGCATTCCAACTCACAATCAATGGATTTCTGGCATACAGATATATACCATCCACCATGTTACTATAGATCATGAATTCAAAGCTGCATTACATTTAAAAGCTGCAGGGAACCTTTTACATACAATGTATACAATAATGATGCAGCTTTAATCAAAAATCTATTTCTTTACACAGGTCAAGATTAAATAGCAAATTGAATGCCACTTAAAAAATCTAAATCATGTACAAAGCTTGAGGAAAATTCACAGAAGTAAGGCACTTACATCTGCTGAAAACCCCTCCACCAAAATGGCTACCAGCAGGTTAAACAGAACATAGTTGCCAAAAGTCATTAGGGCAATGAAATAGAGTGCTGCCCATGGTGATGTTTTCTCCATACCATTGTACAGAACTTGGTTCCAATCCTCTTGAGTAAGAATCTGCAAGAAAATCATAAAAACGGCTTAAGAATCTCAATAAATGAAAATTGGATAGCTTTAATTTTTTCCAATAGCATAAAAATTATCAACACCTTTACATTTGTATACTTTCACAAAAATTCACCTTCCCTTCCTCCCATTCATCATCAACAAATAGTTTTCTCACATAACAGGTTAATAAGATTTAATTTTAAACCATTTTTGGCCATTTAGCTGTTAATGATAGAGACTATCAAACCTTCCTGCACAATACCTAGGCTTTATCTTTATCACATCAAAATAGTACTGAAAGCTTCAATACATCTTTGTATAACAAAACCCATGCATTAGGCTTTCATAGCGTTAATATCAGACAGAGAAGTAACAGAAAAAAAGCAATTGCAATAAGCAATCTGAAAAAAAATCAAATCAACTCTAATCTATCTTGGGTACAGACATAAAGCCAGTTTACTGACGTAAGTAGCAACCTGGTTATATACTTTGTCCTTTCTAATATCTTCAATTATTGATCCACAGCAGTGACGTTATTACATTTCACATGAACCCCATCTATCTAGCTGTGGTAAACCCTGTACATTATTATAACACGAATGAACCAAATTGACAGAAATACATTTATCTTCCCCATTCACAAAATCCCTGCCATTTAATGAAAAGGGTGTAACAAAGCAAGAAAGTCTAAACGTAACTGTTCATCAGCAAAAGCAATTCACATAACTTGTAAAGTGCTATAGGATAGTGTTTTTCATCTACTTCAACGCTAAGGTAATGCATGTTCATCTGTGGCAATTGTTAGAAGTCTTACTGAAACAAACCGCACTAACAACTACATAGACTACTACATTTATACAACAATGAAAGCTTGTCAGGTTAATAATAGCAATGTTAATGTTCAAAATGCTAATTATTTACCTGAAACACAGTCACCATGGCCCATATTGTGGTGTCAAAATTCATTCTCTCACAATTGCATATAATTTCTGGGTTGACGATATCTGAGCAGGTGCACTGTGTGCCATCCTCCCGGGAACAAAATTTACCACCAAACAAAGTCATGCCAAGAATACTACACAAAAGAAACAGGAGATAATAACAAAATTCACAACTACTTTGATAAAGACGCGTTTCTACATATCGCACATAATTTCAGGCTGGATCTGGTGGGCTGGGTTGCAAACAACATACATGCAACAAAACATGGCTGCAAAACTGGTATTTGATAAAATTCATAATTTTTCATTTATTTATTTATTTTGCATTTCTACACACTCAAATTGACAAAAATAATTTCATAAAAACCACAAGTGATATCTAAATTACCATTCTGAATAACATTTAGCATCAAAAAAGAGACTATTACCAGTTTTGCAAATGTTGCCAAAGTTCATGTAGCACAGAAAGCTTAAACAGATTTTCTTATTTCAAAACAGTGTATCTCTACACTGTTTACTAAGAAATCCTGTAAAAAAACTCTTTGTGCACACTTCAAACATAATATCAAATATTAACATCATCCTGAAACAATATAAGGTCCATTTAATGGAAAACTGCAACACCACTGCTACAACACTGACATATACTAAAGACAAAAGAAAAAAACCTACAGATAGAACAAAATATTATGGTGAGTGCATCATCATATGGCAAAGATACAAAGGAGTGAAAAATGCTAGAGGCGCGTAGACGCAGGCGTAAATAAAGCACATCAAACAACAGCTACCCATTGTGGCCAATCAAAATACCTGAAACACAGTGATCATTGCCCAGAGGAGGGAATCAAAGTTCTTGCGATCACAGCTTTGCTTTGGGCCTCCAGGATCTTTGCAGAACTTACAGCCAAATAAACTCATTCCAAGAATGCTAAGAAAATAAAAGTATATAATGTCAATAGATATAACTATGCAATATACAGTGGAAAATACATGAAAGCTTTTCTTTGTAGAATAACCAACCTAATTACTCAAGGATTTAACTCAGCCTGCTCATTATATGGCTATCTTGAATAAGGGGACTGCTTTTTTTATTTTTGGCAGCCATTTTGGATTTTATACACCTGAAGAAGCAAATACTGAATTCATACCATGGTCTTTCTAACAGTTATATGATATTTTAAGCCATTAAATGACTATGTATTTTAAGTTTTAATTTGAAAGGGCATTTTGGTGACCATCTTGGATTTGACAGCCATTTTGGAATATTCAGACATGCCCATATATCCAAATTTGCTTAGAATTTAATTGTCCACAACTGTGCCAAATTTCATGCTTGTAGGTAAAAATACACAATATTTCACCAAGTTCATGGACTATTATAACAAATAGACACAATAAGACCGGTGTGAATGGTAAAACAAAACGAGTGTTATAATGAGCAAGTCCCTTAGTATCCAGTTAAATAGGATAGCCTTTCTACAAGCACATCTTATGGCATGTTGCATTTCTGCAATATATACATAAACGTACTGAACAGGTGAAGATAACCATGATATATGTGCAAAATAAAAAAAAAATAGTAAAACCATGAGTTGAAAAAAATTAATTTTTGGACTGTTTTACATTGAACATTCTTTTAAATGGCTGAACAACTAATATAGATATGATTGTAAAGGCACATATTCTGACAGGTGCTGTCTCTAAATTTTTTACCAGCATGTCAACTAAGTGAAATAGATTAATTTGCAGAGCTTCAAGCAAGAAAATGGGTTTTGTTGGTCTGAAAGATCACAAAGCATCGCCAATTTACTGATTGGAGTCATATTAATCTTCACCTCTGATGCATGTAAAAATATTCACATGATATTATCAAAGTATCTCTACTGTACTACTTCTTTTGTTTGCAAGCATTTCATGCAGATTAAATATAAATAACCATAAATTACATATTTTATTTAATGTATAAAAACTGATTCATTTCTAGTGTCAATATAATGATACCATCACTTATAAAACTTTGAGAAGACAATTAAAAATATGCATGCAATGTGGTGTTTCATAATGTATAAAAATCAGCGCAATATTTGTGAACTGATTGTTAAGTAAGCACAGATGCTTATACAGGAACAAATATGACATAAAGTGATGTATCACTTAAATATGACTTGACTTGTGAAACAACCAGGAATGCCTGAAAATTTACAGGATGCGTGAAAGATCATTTCAAATAATCTGTATCTTTTACAGAGTGCTGAGTGCTAAAACCAATATGTTTCACAAAAGCATATCTACCTGAATATAAACATAAAAAGCAGCAGTAGCAGGATAAATGTAGCAACATTATCCATTGTCCGTAGCATCACAACCAGCTGCCTCCGCAACGCAGGCATAAATCGCACCAATTTTAAGACACGTAGAAGACGGAAAGTTCTCAAGACTGAAAGGCCACTTGCTCCACCATATGCAATTTCAACAATACTGAAAACAATAAAAACACATTTTTGCAACTAACATTTATTCTTAGGGTCTTTTTAACTGCAAATATCTATAATTTTGATGAATTAATAACTCAAAGAATGCAAGCGCTTAAAGAACACCTGCTGGCCACAGTTAATAACATTACAACATATAGTTAAGTGCAAGTTGAACAATCTGTACTTGTAATCTAAACCACAATATGTGAAAGCTAACCCCTTGGGATGCTTGTTCTGAATGAGTACAATTTAACTAGATTGGGCTGACGAAAAGGTCCAATATTGCTACAAATTGCCTCTCTATCACAGCAATCAGTGTGATGAATCAATCCTCTTGGAATGGCTTCAGTATGGAGTGCTGGTCTTACATAATTTACACTAAATATCTATGACAGTTTTTACTCTGGGGAAATAGACATAGTTGTACAGAATTAAATTAAGCTAAATTTTTCAAAAAGAAAGTGAATGTTTGGATGTCTTCATTCTGAGAATTTGTGCTTACACAGATGTGACAGAGTTCATAATGTGATTTTGCTCAGGACAATCTACTAAAACTGACGAGTTGATGGATAAAATGATAGACTTGCTAGTAAGATATTTACTGACAGACTTATTCGTACCATTTACAAGTAACACTGAGGATGCAATGAATTTAAGTATCAAAGATCAAATCCTGGATCAAAGCTTAGCAAAAAATACCACAATGTAGGCAGGTGGTAAGATGCACCACTTCTACTATATATAGTCTGCTATAAAATATGGATGCGTAGTACACACGTGTAAAAGTTCTAAGCCATACATGAAAAATGATAATGGATATAGTGGGTTACCAAAATAGCTACTATAAAGGCATGAATCTCAGTAATAAAGCATTGGCTCTACCTAAGAGTACAGTTCTTTCCTGTTTTCCTAGGGTAGTAGAAGCAAGTGAATTGCCACAAGGGGGCAGCACATCTGTTTATGCTAACAGACCAATGGGGAGTCATCTCCCTTATTATATTTATTAGTTGACATATGATCTCCAGCTATATGATAGGCACAATAAAACACTGCACATTGTTACTCTGAGGAAAAGTAAAAGAGAGTTTTTTTTATCAGGTCTTATATGTTTATGTTTTGTTCTTTAAAACCAAATCTCATTTAGGAAGTTGTAGAATTATTTCTATCTTTGCAAATATCGCTTGATCGCTAAATTTCAAAATTTCAATTACTTGATTTATTCTTACTACTGTTCATTAGTCCAAAATTTTCTACCGCATTTTTTATGGGATTTGGATTTTGTTGAATATAAATTTTTTTTATATTTCTATAAAAATAAAATTTAATTTTTGTGTGAAAATGCTATGTGAACTTAATTTGAGTACACACGCACTCTTCAGAGTTTATATGTACTGGTTAGACCACAAACAGATTTCTTTTCAGAATGAACATCTTTGTCATCACTGCCTACTTTTCATCAGCCTTCTGAAAATATGTTGTTCTACAGATGTTCATAAGATATTCTGAGAACATCTTACAACAGTCACATTCTCCACATACCACTTCAAAGGTTAGCATCTCAAAATTCACCCCACTTACCTCATTATCACAATGACAGCATCAAAAACATTGAATCCATTTTTGACATAACCTAGAACTCCCTCAGCTATAATCTTCAACAGCATCTCCAAAGCAAACAACGCTGTGAAGACAATATTGCAGTATTCCAGAGCAATGGTTAAACTGTCTGGCTGCAATACAAAAAGATCACTGACATTAACAAGTGCCTACGTAAATGTTGCAAAAAATCTAAGATATAAGTTGAGCTGTTGAAACATTTCTAGATTTAAAAAATAAACATGCAATAATTAATTTATAAAGTTAATTTTTTTCTTTTTTTATTGCTTCTTTACAAACGTCTTGATTGTGCAAGGACAAGAAGCCAATACCAAAGCCTCATCAACGTATGTCATCTCTTTATATTGTCCACACTCTTCTCTACCCACAATACAAACCATTTCAACAACGATGATTTAAAGGTTAGTTGCATTTTGCATGTTTTCTGAGACCTGTGTAGATTCATTACACATATTCATAAGTACAGACACATATCATATTGCCAATCATAAACACATCAAATGGTAACTGTACCTGATTGTGGTATTCCACACCCATTGAACAGGTGTTCACAAAGATTAAACCCATGATCCCCCATGTGAAGTAATCACTTTCAACAAATACCTTTATTTTCTGTCGGAACTTAATCCAACAGCCTGAAAAAATCAATCATATTATTGTAGACTGAACATGTACCAACATTTGAATAAACAACTGTATTTCAGCAATAATCACACTTGAATGGCTAATTGCTGCATTATAGTTTTAGATTTTTTAAAATCACATATCAAAATAAGCTGTTGTATACAACATTCATTGTTAAAATCTTATATGCTAACAACAACTGCAACAAACATAAGATAGTCTTTTATGAATGACACTAAAAATATGGCTATAAGAGTGAAATAAAACATGGGAGGCTGACTATGCAAAACGGTCATGTCCTATCAAAACGTATGTCAGCAAGCATGTCAAACAACATAAATTTCAAAATAACAGTAACTTATGTGCCATGCTTTAAGTTCTAGGTATTATTACTAAGATAATAAAATAATCAAGTCTTATGGGATATTACAAAAAAGAAATAAAAATAAGTTAACTACTTGCTTTTTATCATACTTGTCTGTTTTTTATTTTCTTCTTCCTCTTCTGATTCTTCATCTTCATCCCATTCTTTCCCTGAGTCATCACTGTCTGTCCATTCATACTCTGAGTATGAACAGTTGCTATGGCGACAATCAAAGTCTGCAGATGTTGCAGTCAAACGAGGTGACATTTTGTCTCCTAGAATAATACAAACAAATCAGATGTAAGTGGGATACTGCAGCAGATATATGCCATATAGCATGATCTTAGTACTGATCAGTACTGATTAGTACAGATCAGAAAAATGGTGGTCAATTAACATGGGAAGTCATCAGGGAAAAATAAATCGGCTTAATATATCATCATTAGCATATTGCCCTACAATGAATACTAAGCAACTGAGAACTCCAACATACACAAATATAGTACTTTTTGAGGATTCTCAACAACATATTGACAAATATGCCCTATTTCTCCCATTATCAGATTACCTACAAAAATGTCCCTCAATTAGCATGGTCAAAACACAGAACTATAATTTGAAGCAACAATCTGTGAATAACATGTTTCTAGAAATACTGAGATTGTATTTTTGATATGATTTCCACACTTAAATTATTCATGATCTTTGTTCAATTTATACCTAAAGCTACAAGTAGAGTCTGTATGGCAGCTGATAGACTAAATAATATGCAAAATTTAGATGTCTGTCTAGAGCCTACTTTAGATCCAAATTTGGACTAATTAAGAGGGGTCATCTAACGATCAGATATTGCTCATCTGGCGATTTAAATGCAGAGGGGTCTCTTGGTACATAAAACAGGATGATAATGAAGTCTGGATCATCTAAGCCCCACGAGTCTGCATAATTTCCACTCTGACGATTTGAACCAAGATCTCTATGTCATGAATGGCGAAGCATACACATTTGAGAAGCTGAGCAAGCTGAAGAGACCCTTAGACCAAGACATCAAATATGTTCAAAATTGAACCTCAAGGTTCAGTTTGTAACATTTGTAACGGATATTGTACCCAAATCTGCCAATAATGCATCTTTCAATCAATTTCTTTTTATCTTCCTTTCACAAGGATGTCTGTGCAGGCAATTTCCTGTTACATCCCCCCCTCCTCAAGCTCCCCTCTAACACATGGTAAAGCTAATGTGTGTTGATGCCCAGTCACCTTCAATATCCTCTTCATTTCAGAATGAACATTTTAGAAATAGTTAACTTTAATCAAATCTTCAAAAGGACTTCAAAGTTTATTTTTACACCTGACATACTCAAGCAGTACATTAACGCCTGAGAAGTCAGAGGAGTAAGCGTATTAGGTCACCATATATAAACATGGATTGATTCTAGGAACATGGCTCCAAATCACTTTATCCCTTTTTTATATCTTCAAACTAGATGATATGTGTAGATTCCAAGCCCTGAACTTGAAAAAAATTGAGTTAAGAACAGAATTTTTGATGAAAAAATTCTAAAACCCTTACATATATAATAAGATAAATGACAGATCTATAAACAAGGAATCAAACAACTTAGCTTACTTTATTAAATTAAATAATATGTGTTATTTCTAAGTCCCTGACTTGGAAAAAATTAGTAAATAACAGAATTTTTGATGAAAAAATCTCTATCTATAATATGAAAGACAAACAACAAAAATGTACTTAGCCAAATCTGTGAGTTAAGTAAAATGGTATTTTGCAACCCATTGCAGATTCACAAAAACTTGAATAGAACTGAGATGATAACAATGATATTCCATTTTATATAATCATCAATAATCAATCCATATTATATAACAATGACTGAAATAGGTTAACAGTGTGTTTTCAAAAGACATTATCTAGGGCTGAACTTTATCTTTTCTATAGAAAAAAAAAGAATCTGAAATAGATGGATGAAGCCCAAGATATCTCAGTCTGCACATTAAGTGACATTTTCAATGTGTCAATTTTCCTGGAATCCCAGTGAAGTAGATTAATTATTTCTAAGCTCTTTAAAATGGACCATGCCAACCCCATGCCAAATCTACACCAATGAACTACTCTAGAATGAGTGAACCAAATCAATACATACAAACCTCGCACCGCCTAATTAATTACTATGTTATCTTATTACATAAAATCTTATTTTGTTGTGATCCTCAGAAATTTCAACCTCTACTTGATTATCCTCATTTCTCCTGTAACATACAGCTAAGATTTCTTCTAAGGGAACAAGGAAATTACGTTTAGAATAATGACAAAATAATATAATTTTCATTTTTCCTCTCACAAAAGAGGATATACAGTGCTTTGTAAATAAGCGATTCTTTCAAAATGTAAAAAAAGGGTTAATCTGACTCATAATACATAGTTTAAAAAGCAAGTCTTCGTAAATAAGATTTGGAAAGGGGGCATTTCTTGTTTTTGCAGTACAAGAAGCTTCATGTTCAAATTTCAAAATTTCCATTTACAAAGTCCGATTAGCACAATTGAGGCCAAACAGACAGAAGCATTTAGTTTGTATACACAACAGAACAATACTCTTTTACTTTCACCATCTTGGCTTGTATGTCGATGATGATTGATTAGATGATAGACAGGTGTCAAACTTGTCAGAGTACCTCAATGATCACACTAACTGGTATGCTGGAAATATACCCCCGGATGATTTTTAGTATAATGATTGCATAAACTGACTATAGATTCTCTCTCTCTCTCTCTCTCTCTCTCACACACACACACACACAACTCACACACTTCTATTTATTTTTTTAAAAATATTTTACATTCAAAGAGAATGGCAATAAAACACAACATTTGCAGCAGTCCCTTTTCTTGTAATAGAAAACAGGTTTCACATCCAACATACATTTTTGAATGTCGAGTACAATTTATATATTTTGGGTTGTCAGGTATGATATTAGAAAACCATGATTCATCAAATGGAACAGTAACTGTTGGAAATCATGATGGTCATGTTTGATGAACAGGCCAACCAGTGCTTGTCAATATGACTGATGCCTATGTTTTGTGCATTCAACCCGAATGAATAAGGAATGATGCAACATGAATTCTGCAATTAACTTGCCCAATACTAATCTCATTGTAGAAATCGCATAAGAAGTGTAAAAAAAAAAATGGTGGTTCTTATAGTCAATTACTGTAAGAAATAGGAAAGAAAATATGACAGCCAATGTTTTACCCTTGATCATCACCCTCATGAGTAATACCACATCATATGGATTGGATTCCGCAGAGAAATACATTATAAAACCCAAATCAAGACATGATGAATTTCTTACCATGGGAATTAGAGATTGCCTATTTTGAACGACATGCAATCAAGGACATTTGCTTTATAGCCTAGCTATTCAACTCACAGTAATCTCGTTCTTGTACCAGTCACCTTCACTAGTTAATAACTTACAGGTAAAACCAAGAGATGTGTTGTTTATAATGGCATCATACTAAATATCATGCATCCCATAAGGCCTTTCAATCTAGCTATTTCTCTACTATATGTACAAACAGAAAGGAATTAGATATGCCATAAACTAAGCCATCTTTTTCACACATTAACCATTAATGAATATAAATGTTGCATATTGACAAAATGATGTGCATTTCTAATGGGGTGCAGAATTAATTCAAATCCAACAGTATGGAAGAAAAGTTTCAAGTACCTTATCATATGTTAATAATAAAGTGTTAAAAAATTGATACCAAGGACAAATTAATGTAAATAATTTATTTTCTATACATCAAAGGGATTTGAATACTGCTAATTTACTATTAACCTCTTATCTATTCCAACTTAACTGCATGGGTCTCTTAAACTTGTTTTAGGATATCAAATGCCATAGTTACTTGCACAGAATCTTTGTATCTGGTATCTAACATAGAAAAACTCACTAATTACTCATAACAAAATTACAGGTAATAGTTTAAGTATAATTTCATATCTATCTGGTATAAGTAACCAACATTTTCTTCACATCAATAAAGCATCAGAGCCATGACAAATCTCAAAAGATATATCTGGTAAAATGTCAGAAAACTAACCTGCCCACTGAAAAATATTCTGCAATAATTTTTTGATAAAGAGAAAATTTTTGGACATAGAGAGGACAGAATAAATACATTTTTTTTTTCAACCATTTGAGTATTATCCACCTATACAAAGGACAGCCACACTAAGCACTGTCGACATAATTACACCATCTATCATTGGCAAATTATCAGCAACAGATTTTATGAAATGTGTAAACCTACTAACTTGATTTAAATATGTTGTGTAATCTTTATAAATGAAGCATATATCAAGTATTTAGGTACCATCAAACAGAAAAATACATTTTACTTAAAACATCCAATCAACATAATTTCGGTCCATGTACTAAACAAATGTACTGTGAAACTGCTATAATAATCATGTATAGCATCAGCAAATAAAAAAAAAAAACTTACCTTTTTCAAAGGCATGATAAGGACTGAGCCTGTTGACATCATACTCTGGTGTAAGTTTGGACTTGGTAGCTAGAACATCTGAGCACGGTACACTGCAAGAACTATTCATAGATGGTGCTGGGCTGATAGATACCACCACATGATTTGGGGAAGACTGGCAATTTTTTGATGTCATCAGAGGGTCGTATGGTGCAATTAAAGTAGGATTTTGTAAAGATTCTGTTGAGGGGTTCAAACTATTGTTGTTGCTAGGCAATTGCAGATGATTTGGTCTCCGTGGTGATGAGATGGGGTCAATTACAGAAGTCTCTGGACTGGCACGTGGTGCGACGACAGCTGTTGTAGGCGAACTGTTTATATGGTAATGGTGATGATAATGATGGTGATGGTGCAGATGCAGTGTCTTCTTTTTTCTTTTCTTTTTTAATGAAATACTTTTCTCAGGTATTACTTTTTTCTGTCTATTTGCATATACACTACAACATTTTCGTATGAATCTCCTTTTACCCTTTCTAAAAAGGTGTCCAATATATTTAAGTATTTCATCATAACAGCCTCCAGGTTCAGAAGAACTTGCTAATGTACTGCTGCTTTGATATCGTTTCCGTTCTTTGTTCATACGTTCAGTTTCCCTCTTTTTGGTCTCTGAAAACTGCGTTGCTATAACAACCAGGCATAGATTAATCATGAAAAAGGAACCAATCTGAAAATGAAAAATAAAATGGTGCACATTATTATGTTTCTGAGATTCATTTAAGAGACAGGAGAGACAGTAATGTAATCTGCACAACAATTACCTTTAAGCAAAACTGATTAGACCTTCAGACACATTGTTTGTTAAATTACTCATGAATCAAGATGCAGATTAAATCCCATTTAAGGCATTGCATGTAAAGGACAAACTTGAAATAATTAGGTAAATTCTATACAGGAAGAAAAATGTTAATGTAACCAACTACTAAATATATCAAAATCTTTAATTTTTTCATCCAATCCAATGACAGAAATGACTGTTAACATCTACATCAAAATTAAAGTCTTGATTCATCCAGTTTTTATAACTATGATAAAGACGCACTGATAATTAAAGCCCATACTGGAGCCACACGCAGTGACCTCCATTCCAAACACAATTTCCAGTATAAGATTTAATTATAATTATGCTTTTCTTTATTACTACAGTCTCTTTAACAAAACTGCATTTTTGTATTATAACAATGGCTTTACAGAGTGGACACTTACAATGGCAAGGTTGATAAAGAGCCATTAAATCTATTCTCCATTAAATCTCTGAACAGATCAAGCTTTTGACCTGCCTTTCTTGGCAATTTATTTCCCGACAGTACAGCAAACATTTACTAGCTTTACTTATGAATTTCTATACTATTGATCTATACCCATCATTATTAAATGGCCTGTGGATGAAACATCTAGTGTCCACTTTACATCTAATCGATTCTTTGCAAATAATAAACTTGGGAGTACAGACCTGGGGCTACAAGAAAGTCACTATGGGGAAATGTAAGTGCAACAAGTCCAGGCACAGATAAGCAGCAAAACAGACCATCTAGTCTCAAAAGTGACAGAATCAGAAGTGGGCCAGCACATTCAATCAAGAAATAAATTACAAAATAAACTACATGGAAGATGGGTGGTGCCTCCAATTGCTAATATCACGTCATGTTAATCTTCTGCATATAATGCAGGGCAAGGTAATTCTCACAGTGCTAATCCCAAATTGCACATTGATTTCCCATTATTTTTTCATTTTAGAAAAGGTGTCATGTTGTAAATATGGCCTCTTGCATCCTAGAGATAATGCAATGCCCCTAGTGGGTGTGAAGACCATTTCTCTCTTGGCAGGAATAAAAGCAACAGTTTTTTTCACATAAAGTGGTATTGTGAAAAAAATATGCAAATGAAAAAGCACAGAATAATTAAGCTAGGATCTGAAAGTCTCCCAGAACCATTTCAATGTTCATATGACATGATGATTGCTTTTTCATACCTGTAAAGGTAAGTTAAGGTCTTACCTTTTTAATGAGCTCTAGCTAGTACAATATTTTACAGAATGTGTTACCATAACTACAGAGACAAAAACAAACTGATTATCACCATTTTTTTTACCAACTTACCACAATAAGTGCTACAAAATATATCCAATCCCAGAATGAATGAGAGTTCTGAATATAATACATGATGTCTACCCATCCTTCTAAACTGATCACCTGGAGCAGAATAACAATGGTCAAAATAACTTTGAAAATCACATTGTCACTTTATCTTATATTAGAATGTAAAGACTAATTAGTGTTGAAAACCATAAATGAAATTTTCTTCAGAATTCTTAACAAAGGGAAATTTGTATGCTTCTGTTTCAACTTTTTGCAAATAGTTACGCATAAGCAAGACAAATTATCAAAACAACAGATACACGAATATGTTAATTTAAGAAAAAGATAATTGATTAGAATATAAAGGACAGCCAGAGGTAGCAAGAGTCAGGAATATGGCATGTTCAATGGGACAGAGTTGGTGTAAACGCCTGTTTTGCAAAACAGGTTGAAGATATCAGCATTGAAATAAAAAACTTAATCATACTTATTACCATAACTTAGCCTTAGAGACAGAAGAATTTCATTGCAGTAATAAAGATCATCAAATGATGGAGTTGCAGTAACAGTATGGGTCCTCTTAGGAAAAGGTTACATGTCAAGTCCATTACCAGTTAACTTGGTGAAGTGCTCACTTTACATTTAAGTTAACATTCTGGCAACAGAATCTGTAACAAGGAAACATTTTGCTTCTGAGAATATCTAAGAATAGAATTGCCGCCAGTGTTTACACATACGATACCTAATGTCAATATATACTCACCTAGAACACACCAAACAAAGAAAGGGACATAAGGCAACATCTTTACTTACTTGGAAAATAGCAACCCATGCTAAACCAATGTTATCAAATGATATGGCTCCTTGGAAAGGGTTTTCTCCTCTAGATTTACAGTCTGTATAATACTGGTTCCAGTTGATACACGAAGAGTCATTGGCAGTTGTCATGTTGCCATAGGACAGCAGAGAGGAATTGCATATCTCTCCTTCAAGTTCGAAGGGTGGTAGTTTATCGCAGGACATGAGGCCATTGGAGTCGGGCTTTGCGCAGACATAGTCTCCTCCTCCAGCGGGCTTGTAGTACTTGGGCACTGGGGCTGTGAAGCTGTTGACAACAATTGTAATTATCATTATTAGATTATATATATTTTTTACATTTACAACAACATAACTAAACAAAATAATTTCAACAAAATAAAGATACTATTTGATGAGTACTGCCAACTCAATGACATGTCATGTGTATTGGTAAACTATCCCTGGAAGTGAAAAAACTGTGTCTGTCTACAACTAAATCAGAACTTTGATGTTTGCACTGATCATGGAATATGAAAGTTCCATTTCTGAATTTCACAATCAATAATATGAAAAATGCACTCTTTTCTTTTTATCAAATTCAAATTCACTTGACAGATTCATGCAGACTCATATTTAATACCCCTAATGTGTTGTCATCTAATTGTGTTTCAGAAATATCCCAGAAGACAAGCTATCCTCATTAATTGGGTACTATAATACTGATATATATATATATATATATATATATATATATATATATATATATATATATATATATATATATATATATTAAATCAAAATAATAGAAAAATCTGCAGGATAAGGATTGTCTGTGATTGCAGCTGACAGAGACAGAAAATTCAAAACTTCAGAAGGTCAAGCCCCAATCTTTATTCAAGGACTAATTTATTACATACATATGTTAATATATTTTCTACATAAGACTGTTTTTAATTTCTGTTCAAGGTTTTTCCATTACTACACCATAGTTTAATTAGTTCATTCAAAGATGCAGGCTGACCTCCTGCAGGTGCATTTCAAGCTCTCAACAAAAAGGACCAAAATTTGCCAATATATTAAGTTCATAAACAGTTCTTGTTTTTGAATTATGGGAACTACATACCTATAACCTGGTGACTCAATAATCTATTTTGACTCAGATTTCTACTTGCTTTAGAAAAATGATGGTGTAAATGCTGATTCTGATCTATTCAATTTTACAAACTAGACAGTAATTGATGATCATTGGAATTTTATTGCATGTGCTCCTCTCCAAGTCTTGTATGAGTGACATTAATGAGAATTTATGTGGCAAGCCCAAGAAAAGCTTTTAATTTACAAATAGTTTTGTCGTCTGCAGCAGTTAGACTGGTTTACTGTGTGTCATACCATCACCTAGAGTTAAGAACCAAATATACAGACTGTAATATTTATGTGACATTTTTGTCGAAATCAAAGAATTTAACTGCTTTAATATGTTTAAAATCATTCAAATTCTAGATCTCACATATTTTTAACAATAAAAAGGACACCAAACTCTCAGATTCTTTCATTTATTTGACATCATTTTGGACCTTTAAGTTCACCACCTTGATGATAAATCATACAAATATCTATTCCCTCTGGTTACCATTTACTACAAAACTGGCTAAACAGGAAAAGATAGCAAAAAAAATTGTGATGAAATATTTCATAATAAAAGAAATCATTCAAATGTTTTCCTGGATGATCATGAAAGGCTTCTGTATTCTTAAATCTTACTGGTTTAATCAAAGTCTTAAAAATCAATAGCGCTTACAGTTATAAGACTGTTTTATTGCTACAGGTTCCAAGATCTTTTTAAGGAAATGCAGTCTACCAAATCATGTAATTTCCTAATGTACTTTAGGCCAGTTGAATACTTTATCCCAAACTAAATAAAACTACATTTCACAAGAAAAAAATTACCATTTCATAATAATGAGAAAAGAAAGATAAAACAAAATTATGTCATGTTCTATATTCAATCAACAAATGGAATGGTTTTTTTTTTTCACTGGTTCAGGATTTGTGACATAACACGTGAGCTGGTACATTGAAGCCACAAAATTCCATCGGCTGCCAGCGGTTTATCGGCCACAGACAGAAACCTTCATTTTCATTTCCCAATTAACATGTGACCTGTGCTTGAAATTTGTGACCATGGAGAGCTAATACCCACGGCCGACTGTTTTAGATATATACATATATAGCACAACAGCAATTCCATCAAGTTTGAGTACAGCAAATCATTTGCTAATGAGATAGAAGTACAGACAATTTCAGTATTTTTTTTACTCATTTCCATCCTCCCCATCATCTTTTCTTTTACACCTGCCTCTGAACCCCTCATCTTGTTTTATCAAATTTATCTCATTTCCTGGCCTGACCGTAGTCTTGGTGACCCCTTAACACCACAAGAAGTAATGTAATTATCAAATAACATTGCATTACAGCTAGCAGAGAATAAGAGATGCCATGATACACAAAAGCATTCGAGAGGCACTGGAAATTAAGGCTGGGTATAGTGGGAGGGCAGGTCAGTCAAATATCAACAAATACATGTATTACACCAAGGAATCGGAGAAACCATGAAGAGGATAAAGAAATATTTTTATTCCTTGGTCAACTAGAAACTATCTCTACTGTTAGAGTTGTTGCAGTACATAATAATGGTCTACCATTAACTGGTGTTTTCTACAATCAAATGTTTGTCTCTAACGAGAATGCAAACTTAATTGAGGAAAAAAAAAAGTATTAGCTATGTTTGCACCTATTTTAAGACACCTTGTCTATTTTGGTCTGAATTCAGTGGAGTAAGGCTGACATTTACCTGTGTAATCAGTATCAGTGGCAGCTACAGGATCTTGTGCACATCTGCATAGGATATGCTTTTTCAATTTCCCTGATCTGATCTGAGGTAAATCAGGAAATGTCGACTTGGTTTTATAAACATAGGCAAACCTGGATTCATGCAACAGACATGTTGGAGTGTTGATGTAAGGTATAGAAGTCTAATTAATTCATAGAAAATATTTATGATATAACTGCTTGATTTCCCATTTCAGTTATCACATTTTAATCAAATATCACTCTATGACGTAAAAAGTATCAACAGAATTTCATCAGTTTTCATTTCCGAAACCATTCAAAAAAATGGATGGGTTTATGGAAGACTATCTCTGCCCTATTCCTTACTTGCTTTTGCCATCAGGATTTGCACTTACTACAGTGCAGACACCTTTCTTTATAAAACCAATCCTTATTTTTTAATAAATCCAATAAAGTCCAAGGAATGATGATAAACTGTGTGTGTGTATGTATGTGTAGAGAGAGAGGGGAGGCAGCCTTTTTAATTTATTCCAGCAGGTAATTACACACACACACACAAACACATATATATTAGTAATTATGTTCCACTGGGGTGCTATAATAACTAATAGCATCACTGCATAGATCTAGGTTTCCCACCCCTCCATCTTTCACCTATACCCACCCACACTTTATCTGATTGCATCGATTTTTCTCCCAGTCACGCTCATATAACAATAGCCTACTAAAATAGCTTCTGCAAGCCACTGATTAGTTTTTCACAATGGTGGATTCAAGTCTAAACAATATCTCAAACAATAAAAGTGAATTTAGCTTAGATTGAGGTATATCTCATCATCAGTGTTGGCCATTTGAAAAACGTTATTTTCTAATTAATATATTTATCATGGAAATAAAAGGTGCACACCAAGCACTATAGTCAGTATGCCTCCCATACCAATTCCTTCATACTAACTTACTGGTGTGAATACAATATTTTATGCTACACACATCTCATATTATGAATCTATTCCATTTTGCTTTAAAAACAAAGCTTCACATGATTTTAAATTAAGATAAGACACTATTTAAAAAACTGTGTGTGTGAATGTTCATGATGTCCTTACTTAGAGCATTGTTTGGAGATGGGGTTAATGAATTGTTTTGTCAATATGGGAGGATAACTTTTATTCTTTAAACTGTAACCTTTTATGCAAACCTGAAAGTGTTTCATTACCATGAAATGCAGCACCAATGGAGCAACTGCAAGTTGATACAAATTGTACAAAACACTGCCTTCAAATTAACTGGGGAAACTTTCTACATCCTGCACATATTCACCAGGGAGAAAGAACATAAAATCTGGCAAATAAGCATTTTCCCATCAGTTGCAATATTTCCTACTGCTAGCCTGCTACCACCTAATTTGGAGAGCTTCCAGAAATTACAAAAATCTTAAGCAAGGCTCAAAGGAGCTTCCAAGCTAACATTATTATTACCATTATACCACTTTCCTCAAAGCTGCTAAGAAATCAGTTGTTAAACCACACCATATTAGATATAAAGCCTGTCGCTGGGATTATTTTGGCTGAAAATGCATTATCTGTCTCAAGTGGAAACCTTCTGGCTGTAAAAGTTGCTTTGATTTCTAAGCAATGCTTATGCAAGATGACTTCGATGTATCCAACTAAAAACCATTCCAAGGATTGTGAGCAAGTATACTTAGTTTCTAAGCCTTGGAGCCATTATTTTCCATACAATTCACCATGGTAGACTCTGAGGTACTTTATGGAATACAAAATCTGCTTAGTTGATGTGGTGCTTGTGGTGATTGTGGAGGAAGGGGGGCTTTTCAATATGAAGTCTGAAGAATACCAGGGGATTTTGAAAGATGGAGGCTTGTGGCAAAAGATGAGGCCACTTTGCCATTTCGAAAATCAAAAATCAATGCTCATGTCCTTGATAAAATGTACAGTAGATAATGAAAAGCAACAGTTTGAGCTGATGGAAGGTAAACCATTCTTTTATCATGCACATATATTAATGCCAAGAATCCATTACCTTGGTGATGAGACCCTTGCTCACATCTTTGGTATTTCAGATATCTTTCTATGATCTAGTCAGTCTTTTTGTAGGTTATCATTTCTTTTGAAATATCACAACTAGCACTTATCAAACAATACACATGGATGGTTTTAGCATCCTCTTTGATATCAGGAAACTCAGGATATCATTGATTTGAAAGAACAGACACACCCTTCAATGAATAATAGAGCTATGTGAAAAAAGTAAATATAAGCATCAAAGAGCTGTAACTGTCACATGATATAATTTTGTATGCCAAGTGAGATTCAAACACTTAAATCTATCTTCATGATAATCACCTCAGAACAACATTGAAAAAAGATGCTGCAAAAACATTTCACTCTTTAAGCCTTGTCAATGGATAACAAACCCTGTCACTGACATAACAAGGAGTAGAGTGATACAGTTTTGGACTAAATCCCAACATTGCCTTTTCATTTTTACCTTACCTGTTTTAGTAAAATATGGCTACACTGTGATAAATTCACTTAAGTAAGCAATTTTGGTAATAAAAAATATTTTTTACATGTAGAGATAAATATATGCCCATTCATTAAACATTTCAAACTTGTAAAGATCAATTTTGGTCAAATGGCAAAACCACCTTTGTAGTCATTATATTCCAAAAATATTTACACCATCATCTATTTCTTAATGGGTATAAACATAATCATCTTTTAATTATCAAACTTTTCAACTTCGTAGAGTTGTGAAAAAATGTCAAGATACTCACTTTTCTGGTAAGTATGAATAGTTGAGACTAAGGAAACAACGGTTCCGTAACAGCCCTGCCCAAAGCTGCACCCCCACGATGCCAAAAATGAAGAAAACGAAGAAACACAACAGGAGAACATTGCCCAACATGGGGAGTGTATCCAGCAATAGCATCACAAGGATACGCATACCTGAAATCAAAAGAAAAAATGTTTATAAACATTACAAAGGAATGACACAAATGACACGTCTCCTCAAGCAGCTAAGATATGATTTACTTTTTTGTGCATTTGGTCACATTCAAAACAAAGTGAAAAAGCTTCCAGAAACAGGCATGTCATTCAGTTTATATGATTGCATTCACAGGACATATATGCTTTCTCTTACATTTTAGTTTGAAGTCAGCGACTAGTGGTTTATGTTTAACATTAATCTAAAAGGCACATTTACAAATAAAGTAAGCCCATCCCCTGCAGTTTTACCCATATCTGCAAATCTTGGGGGGAGGGGGGTCTTGGCAGTTAGAAAGAGCCACTATTTTGACTAAAAAATTTGATCTAGGTGCTATGCAATAACCAAAAGGGTACAGACCGGAGAGACCTGGTCTCATTAAAGAAAAGTTCACTACAGGCAGCAAATGTAATTTCTCTTTTTTTCTGCTCACTGCTATCCCCTGTTGTAGGCATGGCATACACATAAGTTTAGATCAGAGGGGTTACATTTATTGCTTTAAGTTAGAATGATTTCATTAGAAGCAGTGCAAAGGGGTATACAACAAGAGCAGTCTACCCATCTTGGCTATAAATGTACCATTAGGGCTGAGACTAAAATGTTTCACGATATCTTAAAGCAGTTATGCATGAAGTCCACTGAAACCTAGAGATTTATTGTTCCTGAATCAAAAATGGCCCTCAAATTCAATTTCGCTTCATGAATATTTTATTCACTTTATCACATCACTATGTTGGTAGTTTACTGGGAAGCCACTTATTCAAACTCTCAGAATCACCATTCCCTGGGGCAATAAACCAAGTCTTGCTGCATCTGTCTAGCATTTGGATTCTAATTATTTAAATATATTCACCAAATCAACCTGATACTATGGGTTTCCTCAATATGTTTGCATGAGCAAGACTTCATTTAAACAGTTTGATCATCTCATCTGGATGATAAAATTGGGACCTTCATTTCCTGAGGTCTTCCAGGCTCCCTGCCAATAAACATAGTGTATTTATCACGCTGAAATCTTCAATTTCCCTCTCAGTCAGCATTTGCTGAACTAGTGATGCTTTACAGCTTAACTCTTCAATACTATATTTCCACAAATTTGTTGGTATCGATATCATTAATAAATTGTCTCAGAAATGGACAAAAAATCATGAAATGTGTGCCTCAATAGTAAAATGCGAAAATTTCACTGGTCCATTGGTTTAGGAGAGTTATCATATATCTTTGATAAATCCCATGGCTATCACAGATCAGGAAGGGTTTTTGTCTTGTGATGCATTTTACAAATGATTCACACTATGACCATTAACTGGGATAAGTTGGGTCAAGATTCAAATACATGAGCAGTGGCGGATCCAGGATTGTTTGAAGGGGGGTCTGCGAATGCGAGAGAAAGCGAACAATATCACTACACTGCCAAGTATCCATGTGTATATATACATATATGTGGTATTTTATGTGGTCATCTATATATTCAGCTTCATTTTGTGTGAACAGGAAAGCAAATTAAATTTTTCACCAGATAATTTGAATTTGAAAAATTTGAATTTTTCACTTGGTACTGTGAATGAAATACAAAACAAAGTGTCCTTTTTGGTAACTCTGGGACCATTGAAACATCAGGTAAATTAGCCTCAAACAACAAACTTTTGTGCAGTTGAAACAAAACCTATTACAAAGAACTTGCATCCGAAATGATTTTCAGTACATAAAAAATTTAAGATTTTGATTCCAGACATCCAACACTGATCTACTTTCCTGCCAAGGGCAAGTCACGCAAAAAGTCGTCACAAATTATTGACAGACTAGAAATGCTGTAGTAAATTAAATCTTCGAGGCAGTGGCATATGCCTGCCGAATAAATAATGTAACTGACTCAAATTATATGACATATTGCTAGATTCGCTTTAATCAGGTCATACTAAAACCTCTGTGTCTACCCTTAAGTTATTATGTTTTTCTTCTTATTAGACAAGTCATTAGTTATACCTGCAAAATTTCCAAATAAGAACAATCTTACTTAGTGAAAAGATGTAAATGGACAGATTTGTGTACAACCCTCCCCCCCCCCCCTCCACCGTATAAAAACCAAAGATGAGCACTGTGATATTGGTTCCACTTAGATCAGATTAAGTACATTAATGTATTGCATCAAAAATATGATGGAGTCAACAGCTGAAATGAAATCAGGGCATAACAGCACTATTTGATTTATCATTTTTGACAGATAATGCCCTGTCTGCAATAGGATCAGATCCACAATATCCCTAGACATCTTTCATGATATAACATAAACTAACATAAAATTAACATAAGCATGAATGGCAAAAGAAGAAAAACACAAAAACTTTGACTTTCTATGACAGGTACTTACTTGGAATTCTATTGATGGCTCTCAGAGGCCTCAAAACTCTCACAGTTCTAATGGCTGTGATACTAATTTCCTCTGTGTCAATTGAATATTCTATAGCACTAGAATAAAAAAGAAATGACAATTTTACTCAATTGAAATACAAAATCAATATTGATTTATTTCATTGGAAAAGATACATTGAAAATGAGTACTGTGGCAATTTGAAAAGCTGGTAATAAAAGCCGTTAACCGGTTATTACAAAAAGAGCAGGAGGCACAAAAATTACTTGAATCTTTTGACAATTAATTTTGCTAGCAACATCAACAACACAAACATTATGTTTATTAATAACTATAAATTGTACAAAGGCTGAGTGTCAAATAGATGTTTTAAACAAATATTTTTACCAAATTTGGTAACTTAGCATAAAGAGTACTTTTTGATCAATAAGCATGGACAGAGCCACACTTTCTTCACACACTTTACTAAAATACTTTTTTGCCTGTTACTGTAACATTTTCCCATCAAGTATACTTTTTTATGGAAGATATGCAGTAAAATGCATTCTTATGTGACACTCATTTGTTATTGATTGGCAATCATTGTTACTGAATACAAATGCATGATACTGAATTGTGATATTATTAGTAGAGGAACAATGGTTTCCCAGCACCATAATAAAGCAAGGCAATGAGACAGTCAGGGACAGACCATGCATCACAACAGGAACACAAAAACTGGGAGGGGATAAACAAATAAAATCTGTCAATTTTTCACTCACTGTTTCATATGTTACCAAATGATGCATCCCTTGCACATAAAACATCAAGTTTGTTTTCAATTGTTTTGAAGGAAAAGCCTGACCATGGGAGTTTGAAGACTATTAACATTATCCTTAATGCAAAAGTGAATCAGTTAACAACTAATGTTACAAAAATTGCTCTTAAAAAAGAATTGTGGCCATGTCCCATAAAACATGGCTAATGGACAAAAAATCTATATCATTATTTAGCTGTGCACTGATACCTAAATTGGCTCTGTTTAAAGTGTGAAGGTTTCAATAGACAAACGTGGCATTAGTTTCCATGATAAAAATTGAACACTTAGTGTATATTTGAGGCAAAGGTCTGTGTATATTCAACAATGGCCCCCAGATGCTAAAATAGTCATTCCTTTGTATAATGCCACGGAAAAACATTAATGCCAACAAAATCAATGTTTGAGACCAATTAAGAACCATTTAATGTAACATTTGGTTAATAAGCAGACATTATCTCAAATTCCTGAAATATAATCATGGGAATACAGTTTAAATAAGTTTACTTCCTGACAAACATTCTTGATTTTAAGTACCTTAATGGTCAACATCTTAAAATCAAAATAATGCACAGGTTGAAATGTATACATGTTAATTAAAATTTGATATGCCTAAAAAGGAATGATCATGAAGTGTAAAATCCATCTTTATATATATAAAAAAAAAAACTTACCAAATGCCAAACAACCATACTGCAATGGTCTTTTTCAGAACTTTCATAAAGACACTATAACAAGAGGTGTACATAAAACTGCCTATAATACTTTAAACATTCTCTTTTACATTGTCCTAACTTTCACCCTTAGTTTGCCAACTATTATGACCTGATGGAAAATAATAAGCCACTAATGCCACCAATTTCTGCAACAACTAAAAACAAAGCTTGTTTTATTAACAAACATCATACCTGTGAGACTGCATGGAGGTAGAGCCTAGGGGATGATGTTAATAATAAAAACAAGTCAAAAGATAGATTTAAGTCTGCTTTGAACAAAGACAAACCAGTGAAAGCTGTTTTACATAGGAATGTATGTATTACAAAGGGGGAATGCTTAACACTAAGTTTGTATTTCAATATATTATTGGTAATACATTTTTGTTTAGATAAATGGCCACTTTGTTTTGAGGACTATACTTCCTTATCCTGGACTGAAGCTGACACAAATTCTCATTCACAAAGTCAAAACCAATTCTGATTTAACCCGTGTGAAACTGGGGCCTACTGCAGAAAGAAATATTGTCAAAACTATGTACGAGCGGAGACTCAGCTAAGAAAATTAGTTGACCGAGTTGCCTTTCACAAAGAACATGCAGACCTGCCTGCCTTTTAACTAAAATTCCTTTCTTATATAATTCTAATTGAGACTGATTAAATATCCTGAGTTTTTACAATAATCTATATTTGTTGCTCAATAATTTTGAACACTCTTAGACCAACATTCAATCAAAAATGACTTTATGAAGTTGACTCAATGGAGTTTGTCACTTTAAGCCAAGCCCCCAAAATTTTTTATTAATCAAGGCCTAGGTACATAGAGCCAATATTTGAGGCCATTAAATGACAAATTAATACATTTGCCGATAATAAACTTTTGAACTAAAATCTGTTCAAAAGTTACCAATTTTATATATTACATGATTGTGCCAAGTTGATGTTTAGCTGAAAGATCAGAACTTGGTCAGTCCAGTTTGAAGATATAAATACTGAGAATGTTTTTTCCTCACAAAAGACACATTATCAAATAATGGCTCAAAGGAAAAGAAAACTGGAATCCTTACTGCCATTAGGCAAATAAGACCTTGAATCTATAACTGATCATCATCACCCCCTCAAGTTTACCTTTTAATCAGGTTAATACATAGCCGAGGCACACAGAAAGGTAATGTCGGATGTAATACAAAGATCTACAAAGGTCAGACAATCAAAGTCTTACAAAGATCTTCCTACGTATTTTGTCCTAAATATCGAATATCAAATACTGGTTTTCAAATGCAAATTTGATAGATTGTCTAAAACTGGTCACTAAAGTCAGTTTACACAAACATTTGAGATTTTAGAAACATGCAGGTTTTACACTGAGGCTACATTCCCAGAATACAACAGTGCATCAGGGTACATGGAAGCACATTTACCCACAACTGATACTACAGCAAATTGTACCTCAAAATAAAATGCAATGTAAGGTAAGGCACGTCAACTAAATTTAGAAAGCAACTGAAAAGGTAAGGCATTCAATTTTTGATTACAAGGTTTCTTGGATAATTTTTTGTGTTGGCTATTGATTGCATCCTTAATTTTTTATTTGGTTCCGTCACTGTAAAACATATTTGTTGCTTATTCTAAATTGGGAAGCAACATCATGAACTTGAAATTTGGAGCTGTAGCGGATTTTCTTATTATGTTCATTGTTTATTTCAACTTTAATGAATACCTAAATGAACCACTGCATATTTTGAATTACGGCTTCATATATAGCTGCAATATCAGCACCAGTTGTGCATTATACATTTATTATTTAGATCATGTTGGGCCTAAACAGTATACAAAAAACACATTGATTTTAAGAGCCAGGCCATTTACATCTGAATCAAAATTTTAACCTGAACATGAACATGGCATGCAAGCCTCATTCTACAAAATGAAAGGTAAATTACCTCAGATATGACCAAATAACATGCACAACACATATTCATCACCATAGTAACCTCTTTCTATGAAGATTCATGGTGTGTATACAACCCATGTATACAAGGACTCATATGTTATAGAACTCATACAGGCCTTAGTTTTCAATACCTGAGATACCCACACAACTTTGCTAGCAACTGGTTACCATGGTGATATAGATGAACATGCAAAACTAAACACAAGAGACCCAACCACCTCTCTGGCTGATCATGCATGCAAAGGTTGTGCAAATTAAAAGCCAACACGTCTGCTTCTTCAGTAAACAACACTATAGTCTTCTTTGGTCAAAGCAGCATAACACCCTTACTTGAAAAAGACTAACTCCGTAATGCTAAATACAAACAAAAAATATGCAAAAAAATAATTCTTAATTAAAAGAACTATAATATTTGGAGAAAAGAAATATGTAAGAATAAAATGTGTATTGAAACAGCAACAAATTTGCAATATGTACCATGATTTTTTTTTCAATTAGCAGTATTTTTAGCAACAAAACACTATTTTAAATCAGTTTGAAAGGTTTCTATGTTGGTCTCAGTCTGCTAAATGTTGCATGGCCAACAGTCACAGGCAAACACAGAATCAAAGAGTGCTGACGTAAATGAACATAAAATCAATGAACAAGAGGATGATTAGGAGACAGGTGACCTATAGTGGGAAGCAACTATGACATCAAGGGAAGCACCAAATGATACTGTTTGTTTTCTTTTGAAACTGAGAAGGCAAAAGGATCATGTTCATAAAAGGGACACCAACTCTGTAGATGGGAAACCATTACTGCACATTTGTGGCTAGCTTTGCTGAAGGTCTACACCTGAAATACAGCTTAGTGAGAATGCATGCCAAAAACGTGAATACATTGCTAGAAAATAAAGAGCATGACAAAATAAGTACATTGATAAGGTAGTGATCAATAGCAAGAGGTGGGTGGAACAAGAGGGTCAGGTGTAAGCCGATTTGTCAATTAACCAAATATTATATATACACACATGTGAAATGAAATACAGACTTTTATTCAAAAAATAAATGAAACAAAATTAATGTTTGGTCAGAAACTGAGTTAACATTCTTCAATCACTTTCATGCTACATTATGTCTACGCACATGGTGCTTTCCGAAAGAAGTAATTTAGACAAATTCTCAACCCTCCCTCATTTTACAAATAGTTTAAACTGATTGATAAGTTCAATAGCATAGACAATGTTGGAATAATTGAACTCGATTGTTTAAATCCAATGGAGACCTCTGAAATCCCCTTTCGATTCTCATCATCAAAATATTCAACTCGCACCCATTACTTCATTATGACATAAAAAAAGGAAAATGTGCACAGACACCAGCTCTAGCACAATAGCTTTACACTAAATGTGTTATCCACAGAAGAAGGAATCTTGGCAGGTTATAGAATGCTTCACAAAAAATTCTCAACTCATTTCAGTCTTTTTTTTTACAATTACAGATAGCTCAATAAGGCTGCCCATTAAGTATTCCCAATACAAAAGAATGAACCAGTTATGAAAAATTAAGCCGAAGTTTTTTCCCGATTGTTTGCTTTGGATTCACAGCCAATCATCAGTTATCAAAATAATGCTTTCAAAGGAAGCAAAAAGTACCACAAAATGCATCAGTATTCAAGCCTTTTCATTAACTTTACTAACACTGAACAAATCTGTAAATATACAGAGACCATACAAACACTCTGGTTACTGTTAAATTATTGTAAATGTTTATAATTTTCTCATTTTTTTGACAAAAACAGCGCTGACATCGGTCTACTACATAACAGGGGCAGATTATGTAAGAATTAATGTCTTTATAAAATGCTCTCCTACAGCTTCATATCCCATCATGTGGGTTATTTGATCTGACATATTCACTGATGGCTTGTCATTTTCCCAGTAGAATGTATGGGATGCTCCATTAATTAGTAAGTCACAATATGGGCACTTCGTGCAAGATGGATATGCAAACGCCCTTTTCGATACAGAAGCACTTTATATGTTTTTTTCTCATTGTGATGCAACTCGAGATTAAGTAGGGTTTTGTGCTGTTCAACTGTAACTTAAAAAAATATTAAAGTACAAAAATATTATGTAAGTTAGACTGCATTTTCATCGATACACTCAAAGCCAAACTAAGCTGATAAATGCATTACTGCCTCATCATGCATGAACTGCCACAAATGAAAATGAAACAAAGAAAATGTATATCCAATATGAAATATTCAGTTATTTTTGGAGAATCCAATGATCTCATTGCCAAACTGTTACCCCAAATGCCTGTATCATGCATCCTCAATAGGGCAGGGAAAAGTTTGCAATTCAATAATGTGCGATATACCTCTGAAGTTTTTTTTTCTTTTTATCATGTGGGGGCTTTAATTGACTTTTTTCCTGATGGTGATGCTCTAAATGAATCATCCAAAGAGTTTTTCCAGTGGAAAAAGTTTTCACAGGATAACAAACTTGGTAGTTCATGGGAACATGAAAATTTAACAATTGCTAATAGTATGTGCAGTCCTTAGGGTATAACAGCAATGTCTGATTCTACATTTAGTCAGATATGGACAGAATAAAATCCTTATATTATATATCTTTGCTGTCAATTTAAAAGAAAAAAAACATTTTTGCTATTAAACATTTTCTTGGATATTTCTGTATGTGGTGATGTCGTCTATATTATCATTACTGTTAATTAATAACACCTATTAATCTAAATTCATTTCCAGACCATCTTCAAACTGGACGATTAAAAAAAGCATTTGATAAGTTTATTTACAGCTTCTGAGAAAATTGTCAGAATGGCTGATATTGAGGAATCATGTCAATATATTCAGTGCATATGGGAAGATATTGCTACAAGTGCAAATAATCAACTAGGATCAAAAACTGCAATAAGCCTATTTGGACAAGTTGAAATAATGTACGGCTTATGCTTTTACCTGACAGGGATTGGTTGCACTTTATTCTGAGCAGATATCATCAGAATCAGAGGGGTGTGATACAAGTCAGAGCACTCCTAATATGTATTTCATATCTTCCAGATATACCTTTCACTACATCACTATGTATACCACTTTGTGAACAGTGTTTATGGATCATACCACAATAAAGTCAAATTACAGAAAAAGTCTTAGAAAGCAACAAAGCAGCACCTGTATTTCATAGCATCATTAATGAAAACTGATTTGAAATAAGAAGACCAATTAAGACAGAATAAGGGTGGACATCACGAACAGAAGGAAGAGAAAACAGAAAGGAAAGCACGTAAAATATCACAAGTCAAACAGCAGATGGAATGATGAGCAGATACAAAGTTCTGGAGGAATAATGAACATGTATATAACAAGCACACAAAGGTACATATTACACTAGCTAACTATGTCTATAAACAAAATAACATCACTACTAAAGATATACTGATAACAATTACTTTTATATGAAAAGACAGTCTAGATAGCTATCAAAACAAATTAACAACAAGAAATTTATGAAATAAATAACAATACATTGTACCTACCCTGCCAGTACAATAAAACAATCCAGGCGATTCCAGGTGTCAGCCAAATACGTCATTTTTCCAAAGAAGCCCATGGCAATAATTTTGATGACCATCTCCACAGCAAAGAATGCAAAGATGAAATGGTCGAATCCCTCCAAGACTTTACATCTGGTTGTGTCGCAATTCCCGTCCACGCAGGGCTGGTACATCCCCAGGGTGACACAATTCAGTAAGATCACCATCATACTGGTTCTCTCGAACCAAGTGCATTGGAGTTAAGGAAAAAGTTTTTGAAATATCATTCTGAAAATATATTTGTTATAATAAACTATAAAGCTAGTTCTTTTACGCTAAAGCAGTAACAATTTTAGGTGAGCAGAAGGATGCTATCATCACACTGATCGATCCAAGATAGCAACAAGGCAGAAACATTATAAAAATTCATCTGAATAACCATTTGGTCAACAAAACCTGTTTCATGCATAAAAAAAGACATCTAGGTGCACTTTCTCTTCACTTTTCTCTTATATTTCTTAGTCTAAATACATGAAATAATAATAATGATACTTTTTACCTATTAAATATCCCCAATAATTAACCTTATATAAAAAACAGGTTGCCAATGACTTAAAATTAATTGTAATGGAAAACGGTTCATTTTTGTTTGAATTCAAAATATGCAAAGTGTAGCCACTGATCCCCTGTTTAGTTTTTACCAATATTGGTTTCTTAACAGCAAAAAGTGTGCTCATGAGTAATTAAACAAATATACTATAACTTTGGCTTTTATGATCAAAGTGGCACAACAAAAATGCTGGCAAGTGCCTGGACCTGTCAATCTATTGCATTTTACTTAATCACTTAGTATTCATGAGAAAGATCGATGACACTAATTGAAATCTGTATAGCAACAGTGCTCCCCGTGTTCTTGCTTGCCATTTCCTAAGTGACTGTATATTGTAAGATGTACAATTTGGCATTCTATGCTTTCTTGCACCGATTGTGTGAATTCCCAGAGCTGGAAAATAGAAATCAATTTCAATTTCTAACATATGAATCAATGCTGCAATCTGAAGTAAGCCCTGGTAAGGATTAAGACTTGATTTTACGTACAACTATCCCATATTTCACAGAATTCAGCACATTGTGTCCCTTGTCCTAATACTAATTCTAATAGGAATTTCTCCCAATCTGAAAACCATGCCAAGAAGTAAATTGATCAACTGGGAAAATGTTTGTTTCTCATCAATAGGAATTAACTTTAAAACCTATATCTAGACACATCAACCATGGCAAAAGGCTTAAAAGTGAAAAAAAAGTCTAAGTATTCCCCGAAGTACAATAGACAACTCTACTGGCTCAATTGCATTATCAGAACAGACTATCACAGTTGCCATGAACCACTGGGAACCTTTCACATGTCTGGATGGAGTTGTTAAGGCCAAGGCAATTCCTAATGTTTACTTTCATTGGAAAAAGGATAAGTGCATGTAAGAACCCGCAAAGCTAAATTTGTTCTTGCTTATCAATGTATTAAATAACAGTCAGTTAAACAATGACCATAGGAAAAGGGGGAGGGGAGAGAAGAGAAGGGGGCAGCACCATAACTGCCAGCAGGAAATTAATAAAGGTTCCAATATGCAGCATGCCGTGAACAATTGCAATGATCTATGTCAGCGCTGTCTACCTGAAATTCTCATAAAATCAATTTCCTGCTCACACATGAAATGATCAGCAAGTGAATAAAATATAATAACAGAAGGTTATCCCTCTTTCTCTAGGTCACCTTCATGTATCTACAAAGGCATGCAGTAAATTATAAAAGCATGTAATTTCCAGATTACTCAAAGAATTTTATATATAAAGATTATATGCATAAATACGTTGTGAGAAATGGATCCATTTTGACCATTTACACCCCCCCTCCCCAATGCATTTTACTGCTTTAAATAATAGATTTTGATTGACTTATGTTAAATCAGACTATAACAAGAACAAAACTGAGCTAGATTAATCCCCCAACAAAAAAACTGGCACTGACTAAAAAAAAAAAAAATAATAAAAATTCAGCAAAATATTACAGATATTGCTTATCTTATAGGATAGTTTGATTTTCATAATGACAAAGCTTACTGGTTATTAGAGGAGTCTCATATATAAATGATGAAAGCTACCCTCCTTACAAACGAAGAAGAAAAAATAAAACCATTTATTGATAGTTTATGTATATATTCAATTCATAATGTAGAGAGATAAGGTGAAGTTTGAAGATGTACTGTTATGAATGGCAAGGACATAAAAATGCCCACAACAGCGTAATTATTTTTAGTTGCGCCATTGAGCATGCCTCAGAACTATTGCTAATGCCACGCGTACATTCCTGCAGGTACTAGACATTCCTACAGAGCCAAACTAGCTACAGGATGGATCTTCAAACACTCCCAGAAATACTATATACTTGGCAATCTATACACCTTTACTATATTGAGCTGTGGGCATCCTGTAATTTTTTTTCTTAGTATACAGACGATGAAATAAAGTGGATTGCATGATGCTTCAACTAAAAGGGTTCCTATACAACACTTTCTTTGTCTTAAATTTTCATATTCCCCATAAAAACAGCATTAAAATTACTACCCTCTGGTCAAAAATTGTAGTTAATGTAAGGTTTAAATTCTAGAAAAATATGTTAATGACAACTTTCAAAAACAGAATTACAAAGGTTATTACTTTTAACTTAGGATTTTGATGGCATGATAGGGTTAAAATCCTGCTAACTACTCCTTTAAGTGCCTTTCTTGTACTTGCAGTTAAACTGGTGTCGCTGACAATCTTTATATAGAAAGATTCATTCATTTTCTGCATATGAATAAGGTAAAATAGTTTTTCCCAATTTTTAAAATAATAAGACTTTTTCTCCAAATCTTCTTTCAATCACTAGCAAGTTTTCTAGATGAATGACCAGCACAGTGTGACCATTGTACAAATCTGGTCCTCAGGAATGCTCCTTTAAAATTGAGGAAGCTACAACTGTGATCTCCCCTTAATTAATGGCAATCAGGGCACAGTGACCTATCCAATGTTTCCAGATCAACATCATTATTGGAAACGTATACACCATCTCAATCAACAGATACACTCCTGCTACATCTGTTTCTTGTACTGTCCTAAGATCAAAGACCCAAAGAAGGATGTGCTGAAGGTAGCTCTCTGCAGTTAACAAGTTTGTAAGTAAATTCAACATCAGTATCATCAAGTAATGAGTTTTTGTATATATGCACCGGGTACAACAATATTTAGCCTTTAATTCAAGGAGAATCTTGGGAGTGACCTGGTTTGCTCCTCTGTTTTACATCTAAGCTGAATACATGGATTATAAGTCATGAATACCTGCAACTAGAGACTAATTAGGGTGGGAGTTCAGTCAATCATTCCCATTTCTGTGTACAAGTCAAACTGGCAGGAGGCAAACACTTTCCAATGCAAATGGTAAAAGTATAACACCTTCAGATAGTCAGTGAACACATACAGCCTGTTCCTGCATGGGATATTCCTCACTGGTATCTGATGGCTGATAACAAATGGAGAAATTAGACCCTTTTCAAATCTAGCTAAAAATTTAACTGGACTTGTCAGCTTTGAGAGGTTGTAAAATGCAATCATGCGACATGCATATATAATCAGCTGTAGTTTTCTTCAGCATCACTTGTATTTTCCTGGTAATTCAAATTATTTAACTTGAAATATATTTTCTTTATTCAAGTGGATAAAAGATGGCAGCAGACAATTACAGGATTAAGCAGTCTACCTTTAATGTAAGGTCCACCATATTTGATCCTTGGATCAGTTGATACTTGGATATTCTATTCTGAATGCCCACATAACCCTATGGCTAGATTTAAGTCCTTGAGGGCATTTCCAGAGATTTAGATAGATCTTACTAGATCGATCTAACTCCCTGGGGGTTCACGCTAAATTACAGTCAGCCGACCACGCATGGAAGTTAATTACCCCCATACAGCTTGTAGTAGGCAGGACAGACATTTAAGCCGGATTATCTGACAGTAATCTAGTGAGACTCTCCACCGGGATAGATCGATCTAAAATCTATGGGAATGCGCCCTTTGTTTAGTTTTGGGAAATTGAGGGAGGTCCACTAACTTTGACCATGTGAACACAATGTCAGATTTATTCTGCAAAAGAGCAAGTTTGTAACAGCCTTTCGCAGTTATGTGAAAATAAAAAGGCAATAGGTTAACTATTATAGTTTATAGCCACCAGCCCAATCTTGACAGATCAGGCATGAAATAATTACTTGATTTCCACTTGGAATTTGCTCCAGAATTTGATCCCAAAGCTTATATATATATATATATATATATATATATATATGGACTACCATGGACTCAAAGTTTGCAATCATAGGGGCCATTCAGAATAGATGATCTAAGTACTTACTGATCCGCCGACTAAATATGGCTGACCACACTTCAAAAACGATGCCGCCGATTCCTGATTTTCTCTCCGCCTCCACCTGCGCCATTAAATGGATTTAATCTATAGGCTCCGGAGTTTAATTGCTAGGCCTCTGCAACAACGACGAGTGTGGAGGCGGGTGAACCATCATGAAATAAGTGTTATCGCTTTTGAAGTGGGGTCGCCATATTTAGTCGGCGGATCAGTTAGTACTTGGATCATCTATTCTGAATGGCCCAATAAACTTTGTTTTTCTATGTAAAAAGAATATCTTTAAAGTACAAAGTACTAAATTAGTTAATTTAAGATAATGATTGATAAAGATTGTTTACAACTGTAAACCTCAGCAAGTCTCCTTCGTTTATGAACACAAAAGAATTCCTATGAGATATATATCCACAGCTGGATAACAGCAACAAGTAAAAAGATGTGTATTTATTTTCCACAACATAAAAAACAACCTGTTTATCAAAAATGAACTTTAATGCACAGTAATTTATCATACATTTGAAAATGAAATCATTTCCCCGTTTATTTGATTGACGTCAGTGGGAAGGATTGACATTTTACAGAATAAAGAAAGAGGCAACATAAATGTATAGTTTATTGAGCATGGTAATTTGAGAAAAAAGGCATATAGAATGTCAGTCTCCCTTTCTGTACACATTTTTTCAATCTAATGGATAATGTCAGGAAACTTTTATCAATCACAGCCATTTGTTACATAATGCAAACTAAAATAAGAAAATATCAAATATCAAACATCCATAATAATTACTAGTAATCAA